TTTTTTTACATAACGCCCTCGAAAATGTACTTCAGAATATCCACATCTCGATGAAAAACACGCTCGTCACGTTATGAACGACACAGAAAAAGAGGTTTGTCTTCTTAATGAAAAAGAACAAGAAAAATTAAACAGAGACCGTCGAAAATGGATGTCCAGAATAGACCCCAAAATTCATTTTTATTGTCAGATCAAGAACCCAGGCAAAACCGGGCCCAATCAAGTAATCATGGTTTTGACCAAAAGCTGATTTTCTAGTATTTTAATGCTTCTAGGTCGCCAAGGAGAGTCTTCGTGTTTCATACCCAAAGTAATTCCCGATGCCTACGAGGGGAATGTCTCCAACACGTTGAAAAACCACCGAGACGTTCGAAAAGGTTCGGAAGAGGCTCCTCAGCGTCAATCTTCTAACCAAGTAAGAAAAATCTCACGAGCCCCAGCTAGCATTAATCTTCAGGGAACAGGGCATACTGAACGAGACTACACCGCTTCGAAGTATTCTACTGCTGGAAGCCAAAGCCAAGAAAGTTCCTCCAGTTCAAGACCACGACGTGTTGACAACGGCTACAGCGGATCTGTGTCAAACATGCCGACAGGTAGTTGATAAATAGCTGAAGAAATTGTTCAATTTCCAGGAACGTCTAAATTTTCCCAAAGTCTCAGTCAACTTTCTTCTCAAGCTGGAAGCTTATCAAGAACTAGATATGAGCCTCAAGTTCAAGGAGGTTTTTCGAGTGGCCAAGATTATCAAAACTATCGATTTAAAGGTCTCTATTGAAAATGCCAAATCGAAAAAAAAAAGAATTTTAGATAGACAAGATTATGACCGGCCTTCCTCAGGCTCTCATGTGATCTCATCGATTCCTGAGGTGAGCTAATTATAAAGTATTCTAAATAAAACGCTACCACTTCAGAAAAAAGCCATGGAAGATCGGAAAAGCGTTGCTGAACCACTTAGAATACTCACTGATGAAGATTTCCACAAGAAACTTCAGGAAGACGAGGCTAAAAGGCGCGAAGAGACTCGCAGGAAAAACGAAGAAGAAAGACTTAGGAGGAAAAAGATCCAAGAGGAACGACAACGCGAAATAGAAGAACTCAGAAGACAAGAACAAGAGATCGATGAAGAATCGACTCGGAATCTGGCTGAATTTGAGGAAAATCAAGCCAAGGAGAAGATCCGAGAAGAGGAGCGAAGGAAAAAAGAAGAGGAGGAAACCGCCAAGAAAAACCGCTTAGAGGAAGAAGAACGACGAAAAGCCGAAAAATCTTACGATTTGATGATGGCGCAGGTCAAGCGGAACATGTTCGTTGAATCAAAATGGGATCAATGGTTCGGCCAACTCCGTGGCTCGGTTTCCCATCTCATTTCCAGCTTGGAAAATGTCATTTTCTATGTGAAGGTAACGTTTGAAGAATAGGTTGACTGATGGTCATTTACTAGCTTGAGGCTCAGAAAAAGTTGGAATGCTGTATTCATTAAATCGATACCCAGAAAATCTCAATCTCCCCACATTTATCCGTTTCCAGAAAAAGAATAAATGACTCAGAAAGTTCTGGCTCGATAAAATTTCAAAAAAAAAAAAAGTTCAACTGGTTTTCTCGTTCAGAGAACACAACTAAAAAAAGCCACGGGGGCAAAGTCCATACTTTTTTCAGAGAAAAAAAACTTCAAAACAAGGGAAAGTGAAACTTTGGACCCAATTTTTCCAAACCAATCTTTTTTATAATTATTTCACGAAACAAAAAATGATGTAGCTAATTTTGCAAACTTCATTTTTTGGCTTTTCGTGTTCCTAAATGATTGTTAACGTTTTTCAGACGACTGACTGGAAAAAAGCCGAAGTTCATCTACTGTCTTACAATCAAGTAAGAGTCACTCCCTCAACTGAAAGAATCAATCAACTTGAGGAAAAAATCCTATCAGTGACTGGAGAATGCAAAAAGCTACTCGCGAACTACCAGGATCAAATAGACATGATTGCGAGATTGATCCTAAGATCCGAAGCCCCGTTTCTGAAAGACGTCAAGGTGAGCTTAGCTTACAACAAAATTATATCATTTTCTTAATTTCAGGATAATTTGGAACGCTTATCTACGTTAGTGCGACAGTTGTCAGGACGTCTTCTTCTTCAAGAAATCGACAAAATCGAGGTTTTCGCAATTTTTTAAGTCGATGATTGATATAGCACGCCGCTTCACACATTTTGCTTCATGAGCCTCGCATGAAACGCGTTTTTTTTTCATTAGATTCCCAAGCACTCGATTATATGAAGCTGTACTGTGTAGAAGCAAGCAAGAAACTGCTGAAATTTTTCGCTGGATATTTAAAGGCACTTGCTTGAATTCGCCACGGGACCCATTTCATGTTTTTTTTTTCTTGATCTACAGTCACCTGCGCCTTTAAAGAACTTTAGATCTTATTTTAACAAAAAAAATGCTTTAAATAGAAGAAAACTTCGATGAATCAAGTCGTGGTCTAATCTAAGAGCGATAGTAGTCTCACCCCACGTATAAAAAGTAGTCGAAAAAATTGCCCATAGCTGTAAAATTTCAATAATTTCAGTTCAACACTGAAGAATGGACTGATATTGAGAACCTGACAAAGGAAGTGGAAAAAACTGCGCGGGATATTCCATCGACGTACACTTTGAAACAAAAATACAAGAACTACACTGAAAAATCGAAAAAGCCTATGAAAGAACTCCGGGCGATCTCTGACTGAGTATTTCTACACTTCAATTGGAATCTCTTTCATTTTCCGCATTTTACTGTTTTCGGTACTCAAAACCCAATCAATGAATTTTATTCCCAGCAGATTGCAGCTAAATTAAGATAGCTTCCAATCCTTGAATTCATTGAATTTTATTAAAGTTCCAATGTAATATATTTATTTTTCTGATCTTTAAATGCTTTTTATTCCCTTGTGATGCTCAAAAAAATGTGTATATAATAAATTTATTTATTTTTCAATTTCGACTTTGCAGTATGTATTTGAAGATTTTTTTGAAACTCCATTAAAACTTGAACTTAATTTTTCATATAATTTATTTTTTTCTCCGCTTCTCAATACCTTATTTTTCATAGGCTTTTTAGTTTGTTTTTGTAAAAAAAAAAAGTTTTTGCGACTTCCAATTTAAAAAGATCGAAAAAGAAAAATAGAAAAAAATCATTTTGCGCTTTCATTGCCTTGAAAAAAGGATTGCCAATGAATTCTACAGCCTTAATTCACTGTAATCTACAAGAAATTCAACGAATAGAAACCGACCAGAGATTTCAGCCGTTGTCTTATCAGTAATCGACTTTTTCCTCCTTCTTCAGATTCTCCACGTTGCGATCGATGGGACGCCTTCAAAAAAAATATTGAAAAAAATAAATTTTTGAGAAATCACAAAAAAATACAAAAGGAAATCAAAGGATTCCTCGCATTTTTTTCAAACCGAACACACAAAAATGAATTTATTTATTCGCATTATGTTTGGTTTCATGGGAAAAAAAAGAAAAAGTTCACGGAGAACGCAGATCAAAAAAGGAGAAGACCAAAATAACAAAAAATTTTCTGATTTTCACCCAGAAATTCTTGTGAAGTTGGATTTTTCAAACTCTATCGGTCTTCTAGCCATCGTCAACATTGTTCAACTTCTGAAAAAATATACAACGAGAAAATCAAAAAAGAAATGTTTATGTTTACTTAATCTACTTGGGACGTTATTTAATTTTCATAAAAGGATGATAAAGTTTCTAAATGACTTGTTCATCGGGAGGGAATGAGCAAAAAGGCTTTAGAACCAAAAATTTATAATGTTTCGGAGCAAATGTGCCAATGAAAGTTGATTTTTGCGTTTCTCCTATGGACTCGTCGTGAGAAAAAGTTTTTTTATTATTCATCCTTTCAAAAAAATAGAAAAAAACTGGAAAGGAAATGAATTAAAAAAACGAAATTTTTTTAAGTCACCTGTAAGAAGAAAAAACATTGATCAAGGCTTTTTTTATTAGTGTGGAAGCTTTTTGCATTCAACTAATATAATTGAATAAGTTTTTTTCAAGGTTATCAGCTTGATTATTAATATACTGATATTCTTCATTCGAAAATTTTACAACTACAGTCCGAAAAAAAGTGGGAACCATTCTATTTTAAAATAGCTCAGAACCAATAACTTGATCTTTTTGGCTCGAAAATAATGAGCAAAACGAAGAGTTTCGCAAATTAAATCAAGCTTAACAACTGAAAAAAAAATCGAGGGAAAAGCTCTTTGATTTTTTACATGTTTAATTAATTACGTGGCTCTATTCAATTTTTGGGAAATAATTGACTATCAAAAAAACACATTTCAAAACCTGAGTGAGTCCATCGAGTTCTTTCCCGTCAGCCGTCTGACCTTTCAATTATCAGTCTGTTCTGATTAGTGACTTTATCACTAATCAGCACATTTTCATCACTATTGTTCTTGCGATGTTGGCGCTCTGGACTGTTTTGCTGCTTTTCTCGGCCGTCCAATCTCAAGGCTGCTGGAATCCACGCGACGTTCATATTGGAAACAAGTAATTTATTCACTTACTTTTAAAAATTCTATAATAATTCTTATTTGGATTTCAATAAGACGATAGGGAATAATGTTGAAGTAACAAAAGAAATATATTTTTACCGTTTGCTATATTTTTTCACTGGAAGAAAACCAATTTTCTTAAAGCTAAGCTCTTTTTTCAATGTAATTTTTACATCTGGTATTGAACCTATCAAGTTGCAGCACATGAAAAAAAAGAACACTAAGACTATTTTTGGTTGAAAAAAGGGTATCATTTCATCTTTTCATTGTGAAACTTTCAAAATAATTGTATCTGTTTCAAATCCTCGCTGGCTCGTTTTAAGAACGACGGAAAAATTTGCAAAAGAACTCGAGTTGAAGAATCACTTACCGCTTTCGAAATTGCTATTCTTGTTTTAAATCTTATATTCGTTCTCCTTATGACAAAAAATCAGGCGATACCATCGTTCGCTAAACCAAAAATGTTCATAAACCATTCTTATTGATTATCATGGAAAAAAGCGAACAAAAATGAACAGGGGACATTGAGGATCATGCTTTCGAGCGAGAAACCTTATCAGCAACTGTTCTGTGTTCTCAGGATTTTTTGTAGGAATCTCTATACCGTGTTCAATTTGATTTCGCGAAATGCGAAATAATCTTTGACTCTCCCAAACTTAGTGATAATTTCCTTTCTCTAACGGATATTTTGCATTTCGCGGAATCAAATTCAACACGGCACTAGGACTCATCCAAAATTCTTAAAAGATTTTTGTAGAAAATGGATTATTTTACGAAATTCTAAAGACTATAGTATGTTCAGATTTCGAATGTCAAGTCGCGTCAAAAGCTCCGCCCCTATTTAAAAAATGACTACCTATTCATTCATTGAAGAGTTAATCGCTTCGTCGCAACTATAAAAACCGTCGAATCTGAAAAAAAAAGCATTGCAAAAAACCAGAGAAAAATAAACTCATCAGTGAAGTGAAGAATTTTCCCAAATCGTTATCATCTTGAGAACGAAAATTGATTATTCGGCTATAATTTTGGAAAATAATGTGTTATAAACAAAAAGACAGCCAATTATTTTTGAAGAAAGAATTTTTTTGGAGTCGAATTGCCTATTCAAATAGTGCTTGAAAAATGAATATCTTCCTTCAGACCGTGAAAAAATAGATGTCAAGTCTTACAAGTTTTTTTGTAAAAAAATAAAGAAAAAAATGACTTTAAAGTGAAAGAAAAAAAGTAAAATCATAAAAAAATGAATATTTTAGGGCCAAATTAAAAAGAAAAGTTGGCGTCAAATAAAAAGCATTTGGTTTTCGCACGCTTTCAACGTACAGTGATTATTTTAGCACAAAAATTTTTTTTCGTTGTTTAATTAAATAAAATATTTGAATTGAGCCTTTTTGCAGCTGTTATACGTTTGTCGATAAGATCCACACGTACAGCAACGCGCGGGCCTATTGTCATTCAGTACATGCTTCTCTGGCAGGCGTTCAATCCGCAATAGATGCCAACTTTCTCGCCGGTGAGTGAAGTTTGTTCTGTTATTCTGAAAAAGTAGAATAAAATCTAGCAAACGCTGGTTCACAGTTCGGTGTGACGAATGGCGACTTTTGGATAGGATTGTCGAGAGCAGGATCGGAAGCATCTTTCAAATGGGATGACGGAACAAGTGTGACCTTTACGAACTGGGGTCCAGGTTTTTTGATGATGCGTTACCTTAAAAATTGAATCAATAAAGGATATCCGAACTCGCAGAACTACGTGGCAGAAAGCATCGCAAATGGTCGTTGGAAAACTCTGGCCGGTGCTGCTGAACTTCCTCTAGTGTGCAGTTACGACCCTAAAGAAGTTATCACGACGGGAAGTCCCATGAAAACGACAAAAGTCACAAAAACTTCCGTGGTCCCTACAAAGCAAGCTTCTACAACTCGAGGTTAGTAAGAAAAAGAAACAATCAAGCTAACGAACAACGTTTTTAAGGCACCCGTCTTCAGTCTGGTTCTACGAATCAAAGTCCGTCTTTTACCACTTCACAGCCTGTTTCAAATTCGTGCCCTCAAGGATTCAAATTTTCCAAATTGACCAAAAAATGCTACATTGTGGTTTTCATTTTAACAAAATACACGATAAACATTTGGGAACATGTTTAGGTGATGTACGGCGATGATGATTCTTATCCGGATGTTCCAGTGAGTTTTGAATGATTTAAATTTGAAATTATCGATTTTTAAGACCAACGCTCCACCCTTGACGCGAGAACAACAGAGATGCACCAAAGGTTTTTTTTGTTTTCTCGTTTCGATCCATTTCAAATGCGGCTGGTTTTTCAGTTGGGGCGACTCTTGCCACGATTCATAGCCAGGAAGAGAATGAATTTGTTCGAAGCAAGTTTTTAAATCCTTTAAAGTTCTTCTCAAACGCGCATCAGTAATTTCTAAAGAGGTATACATTAAAAAAAGCCGTTTCAACTTTATTTGAAGTCGTCATCTTGTGCGCCTTTGAAAACTTTCTTCTAACAATTTTTGAAGTTTTTAAAGGCTTGAAAAAATGAGACCTTAGTCAATTTTGCGCCAAATGTTTTCATTTCCACAGTGCTTTTTCAGAATTTCTTATGAAATAAATCAAGGATAAATTTAAAAAGCGGTCCCTATAGGGGCCCTTAAAGGGTCCCCTCTAGAGAAAGCTTGCAAAAGGGGTCCCTATAGGGGACATTGTTATGAACTCTGCGCGGGGAAGCATTTTGATGAGAAAAACGGAAAAAAGCGTTTTGATTTTATTTGAGAGATCCCTGTAGGGTACACTTGAGCTTTAGGAGGTCAGACCCCAAACCCCTATAGGGACCACTCCGGAATCCCTAACTACCATTAAATATTGAAATTTAGCTCTCTTCCCTGAGAACGTTTCGTATTGTACAGCAGGCTTGAGAAACATCAATTCGTCCTCTTCTGAAGGTATAAGTCTTCGGGAATGAAAAAAAGATACCACTTTTCAATCTTTCAGGAGATTGGGAGTGGATCGATGGCACCAAAATGGACTATTCCAATTTTTCGCCGTCTTTCCCGAAGCCCAATGATTCGATAGTACAGGTTCACAGTGAAATTTTTTTTGAAAGCATATGAATTTTTGAAGGTTTTAGGGTTAATTTGATCGGGATTTACCCCAAAAGAACTGATTTTTGAGCGATTTTGAAGTAACCGATGCAAATAAAACAGAAAGCTTAACAAGAAGGAATTTATGAGAAATAATTTATTGCATGAATTTCCGAAATTGTACAAAGTTTTCACTAGACTGTTCGAATTTAGATGGTTAGGACAAAAATTTCTCACTAAAAACAAGAATATCTCAGATCGGACACGGCTTCTGGGTCACCTACACTCGCACAACGCCGCTCGAAGGTGTGATATGCATGAAATAAGCAATTTCGTAATCAATAAACACATTATAAATACAAGAAACTCAATCAAAACTGAAAAAAAAATGAGTTCAAACATGACGAAAAACACTTTCCACCGCGAGCACGCCAAAGAAAGTTGCTGGTACGAAAAATGGGAAAGCGAGTTTGTCGAAGAAAAATTGGGCCGTCCCGAGCATTATCCTCAGCGTCTCCTCGTTGATCTGCGTCATGTTCTCAGTCCGTTGAAGCACTGAAATCGGAAACTTTTTATAGTCGCTTCTTAAGAAAAATATCTCACCTTCGAGTTTTCCAGTCGTTTTGTTCAACTCCAAGTACTCAGTCCGAAACTCGAACATCTCCTTGACTTCTTCATAATCAATCGTAGTTTCTTCTGAAAAACCAGACTCGAAAAATCAACAGAAAGATTTCACAAACCACTTTCCAACTCCGCAGAAGCCAACAACAAGGCGAAGAGTTGAAAGAAGATAAGCAAAAAGCGCATTTTGACACGCGTTAATGTCAAAAACCTTTAATGATTTTCAAAATGTTCTCCGGTTGCCAAGACGACGATGAAATTGTTAAAACATAGTGTTTATGCAACAAATTAGCACGATGGAAAGCGTTGAATGTTGTGGTGAAGATTAGAAAAGAAAGAAAAAGGATCGAGGATCGTCAGAGTAGATCGAAAAGATGGTCGTACTGTTTTAGGATGGCTGGCGTGTAGTCGCGACACCTGTACAAAAATATAGGTTGAACAAGTTTCCTCTATAATTATGATTTTTGACCATTTTTCTCTTACTCAGAATAATAATCTTTGAAAGGTCCAAATCTTGGAAACTTCGAAAATTAAAAGGAAAAGGATTAGCTTGTCTTTTTATCGCGACTTCGCTAAAATTTTGAAGTTCCTTGCGGGAAAACTTTGAACCAGGCTTTCTTGGACCTGAAGTTTGGTCTGCTTAAACTTTTTTGGGAGCTGCATTTCGGTCTGCTTAAACCTTTTTGGGAGCTGCATTTTGGTCTGCTTAAACTTTTTGAGGGCTGCATTTTGGTCTGCTTAAACTTTTTGGGAGCTGCATTTTTGGTCTGCTTAAACTTTTTGAGGGCTGCATTTTGGTCTGCTTAAACTTTTTGAGAGCTGCATTTTGGTCTGCCTAGCTTCTTGCAACCAAAATTTGGTCTGCTTATTGGAAGCTGCATTTTGGTCTGTCCAGCTTTTCTCAACTAAAACTATCTTAAAACTGAATTCCCTCCTCGATAGCTGCATTTTGGTCTCATATTTCTTTGAAAAGAAACTTCGACCTATCTTAACTGCGATTCGAATTGTCAAAACTCTTTACCTGGTCAGATGCTGGGCTGTAGCCTCCGGATCATCATCCTCCTTTTTCTTTTTCTCTTCCTTTGCCGATCCGACTTTCTCGGCTGACGCGACCTCTTGCGAAGTCTTCTTGACTTCTTCCTACAAAAGATGGTCAAGAAGGCTATTCAAGCATCTGACAAACCTTTGGCGCATTTTGCAGCGCTGTTTTTGAAGGGGTCATGACCAACATCGCCTGCACATCGGCGCCCGGAGTGCCCCGGCGTTGTGACTGGGGTTGTCGGGACTGAGCCCGTTGCCGACCCCTTTGTTTTGGTTTTGCGCAACTTTCCATGATTATTTCTCGATTTCGACTTGCTCTTTTGCTGTAAAAGTTTTCATGTGTTCTACTTTGCCTTAAACCTTATTTTGAAAGCTGCATTTTGGTCTGCTTAAAGTTTTTGAGAGCTGCATTTTGGTCTGCTTAAAGTTTTTTAGAGCTGCATTTTGGTCTGCTTAAAGTTTTTGAGAGCTGAATTTTGGTCTGCTTAAAGTTTTTGAGAGCTGCATTTTAGTCTACTTAAAGTTTTTGAGAGCTGCATTTTGGTCTGCTTAAAGTTTTTGAGAGCTGCATTTTGGTCTGCTTAAAGTTTTTGAGAGCTGAATTTTGGTCTGCTTAAAGTTTTTGAGAGCTGCATTTTAGTCTACTTAAAGTTTTTCAAAGCTGCATTTTGGTCTACTCGAACTTTTTGAGAGCTTGCACTTGGCCTGAAAATGTACCTTCTTTTTCTTTTTTGAGCTGCAACTGATTGCAAACAAGAGTAACGTAGCGATGAGTAAGAAAATTTTCGAAAGGAAAAAATCTGAAATTGATTTTAAAGTATTCCTTTGAAATCATTTCGTCAAACCAACCCAACATTTGATTGTAAGAACGGTGAAATGAACTTTGTACCTTTTATTCTTACGTTGATTCATTTTAGTGAAAAGATTTTGTTTGTTGAAATTTTTCGGATTTAAAGAGTGGGTGGAAATCCGGACAGGATCTTGGGGAGCAAATATTTTTCGCCAAGGCAATACGATCCTTTTTGACCTTTTTTTTTCAAAAATGTTCTTTGTTTGAAATATCGGCAAGTTTGAAGAATTTGAGGAATTCGAATCGAGTTTTTTAAATTACATGGAAAAAATCAAATTCGATAAGTTGTGCAAGATAGAAGGTAGGTTTTGAATGATATCAAGATGTGAAATTTGTTCGGTGAATAAACTTATCAAAAATAAGTTCTTTATATTTTTTAAAAATACATATCATTTTTTCGAATTTTCCAAGCTCTAGTCGATCCTGGCTAAATTTTGTTAGATAAACAAAAAATGCATTATTTTTTTTTTTAATATTTAATGAAGATGATCTTCAAGCTGACTCATTGAAAAAAATTTGGGATTTTTTTTCCCACAAATTTCCGAACTACAAATACAAGTTCATCATCCTTGTACAAAAAATGTTCCCTCGGATGATTTTTATTTTTAGCTCTTCCATTTTCTCTCTTCTTTTCTTTCTGACTAATCACCCAAACTCTGATCATCAGGTGGAGAGAAAGGTGCTCTAAAATCGTAAAACAGGGGTGCACTTCGCCTGGAGCCCGAGCCGCAGAGCCGCGCGGAGCTGCAGGGAAAAAAGTGGCTCCGTAATATTTGCTACTGTAATGTCAACAGGGCCACTCTCCACTTTTGCCCCAGCCAAAGCGTCGAGAGAATACTTGGCCTTTTTTCCTCTTTTTCTCTTTTCGACGTTTTTTTTTCGGCTTTCTCTTCATCTCCATTAGTTCTTTCTCCACCGAGCTTTTGCCAACACTTCAGATCTGCCGCCCCCGCCACATTTTCCACAAGAAACTTTCTTTCTACCAACCGTTTTCGCTCCTTTTCTTTGTACAGCTTGCTGGTTAAGAAAAATCGTCTTTTTCTTAGATTTTTTCAATAGTGTATTTCTTTGTAATTTTTGGCCCTTTTTTATTAGGAGATTGATAATAACTAAATAATAAGCGGCATCTCTCGTTCTTCATTTTTTGTTTTCCAAAATAAATAGTAGAGATTTAAAAGAGATGTTTTCTAAGATGTACGCTTTCATTTTGTGTTAATTTTTAAAACTGTAAGAAATTTAAGAATTATTAGCGTACTTAGGAATACCAGAGTAGCCCCTTTAGGGGTTAGGGGGAAAAACAGCCTCTGTATGGGTCGAAAAAAAGAGTTGCTCTAAGGGTGAGTTCGTCCCTTTAGAGGTTAAGGATCTGGCCCCTTAGCCCCTAAAGTGGACCCTATAGAAGTATTTCAATTTCATTCAAAAAAAGCTTATTTATTTAGTTTTTTTCCATGGAAATGCTTCTTCGCTCACATACTAGCATGTCCCTCATAGGCATGTCCCACTTTAGCAAGCTTCAGTGGTCCCTATAGGGGTTGGTAAAGCAATGCCTAATGGGGACCCTCCAAGAACCTCTAGGGTCGCCCCATGGGGACAATCTGGAGTTCCTAATCACCTTTTCAAGGAAAAAAAATTTCTAAACATAAATCATCAAGTACAGTACTTGATTCAATCAATAAATGATTTCGTGCTCGAATTTTCAATTTTCCTGTATTTTTTTTTGCACGAAATGGTTTATAGTTATTTTCGTCATGGCTTTATAATCTGTGATTGCATTTGGATTCAAAGCGCTTCGATTTTGAATTTTTCTGAAATAATCATTTTGTTCCGTTACACAGGTTTGAGCACACTAGCTAGCATCAGTTAAAGTATAAAAATCAAATTTAAATCACTCATAAAAAAAAACTGGATAGAGTTCTTGGAACGAGTTATTTGATCTCTAAACCATGATATTTTGGTTTTTTTATTCGCGACTGCTTTATTTCGTCTGCGCTCTCTCGTTATTCCGTTCATTTTCAAGCACTTTTTTCTCATTTGATACGAAAAAAATGGGTAAAAAGGTCTGACAGCTTCAAGTCGTGGTAAATGGAGTACGATTTAGCACTCAACTTTTGAACTTATTTTCTCAATAAAGAGCAATCTAGACACAAAGACCAGTGAATCTCAAGAACGACCTTTGCCTCAAAAGCCTCCGACAGCCACGTGGTGTCTGAATGTCCACAAAAGTCGTCACAAAAACGGACAATAGGACAAAAATCCACGAACAATTCCTCGGTTGTTTGTGTGTGTGTTCATGACGTAACGGTTTTCTCGAGTGTCAGGAGGGGCTCCCGCAATTCTCCCGCGCGGATCGACCTCCTACTGGTTCCGCGCAGCCGGATATCTCCTCTTTGCTTCTCCGTTTCAATCGTTTTCCAGATTTTTTTTTTGAATGTTTTTGTCGAAGTTTTTGAGTTTTATTGAAGTTCGCGCTTGAATTTTACTTTTAAAGGTCTCCCGTTACGATTGGAAAGTTTTCACTCAACAGCCTGATTCAGTGCTTTTTTATGTTTAAGAGCGCAAGTCGCCTCAGGTCGGACGCGCTTTGAAGCAGCCGTCCTGCAAAAAAAAAAACCATCCCCTTCTGTTCACTGTAAAACAGTAATCACATATCGTCAACTTTATTGATTTTTCCTTCAAAATTCAAAATCAATAGTTCACAAGTTTTCAGATGTCGTGGTCAGACGAGACCTTCCGCTACGGCGGCCCCATGAGCGACGTCGATGACGACGAGGTTTTTTATCATAATCTTTTCTTGAAAGAATCAAAATCCCAAAATCTTCCTTTTATTTACCTTGCACTTGACGGTTTTCCCTCTTTAAACGAGGGGGAGAAGACAAATTTGAACAAGTTCAGAAAAGTGAAGAACAACTGTCGGCAGAAGTGAGTGGCTTTCACGAAAAAAAGCTTTTTCAGTTGCAAAATGCATGTTTTTCAGTTGCTGACGCTATAAAAAGATACAAAATTGTCTTCGAAAGAGTATATGACAGGAGTTGGAGCAGAAGATAGTTTAAAAAAAGGGCCATCTTTCGAAATCATTTTCAATAAAGTGTTTAGAGCAAATTTTCCTTTCGCACAAAAATGCAGCTCTCAAAACGGAAGAACGAAATCAAACTTCAGAAGACGGACCAATTTGCAGCTCTCAAAAAGCTATAAGCAGACCAAAATGCAGCTCTCAAAAAGCTATAAGCAGACCAATTTTGCAGCTCTCAAAAAGTTATAAGCAGACCAAAATGCAGCTCTCAAAAAGTTATAAGCAGATCAATTTGCAGCTCTCAAAAACTTCAAGCAGACCAAAATGCAGCTCTTAAAAACTATAAGTAGACCAAAATGCAGCTCTCAAAAAGTTATAAGCAGACCAAAATTCAGCTCTCAAAAAGTTATAAGCAGATCAATTTGCAGCTCTCAAAAACTGTATCAAAAACAAAAAATCAATGGTCAATGAGCTAAATTATTCACTATAGAACTATGAGACTGTATTTTATAATCTTCCGTCTAGGAAATTTCTTGCTTTTTGTTCAAGATTAGAATTGCTCCAGGCTCTTCTGTCATATACATGCCTTAAATATTTAATTATTCAATTCAGGCACGCAAGATGGCAGAGCGCGAGCGCAAGAAGGAAGAAGTCCGCAAGCGTCTCGAGGAAGCCTCGCGCATGAAGAAGGCCAAGAAGGGTTTCTTGACGCCGGAACGCAAGAAGAAGCTCAGGAAGCTTCTGATGATGAAGGCCGCTGAAGACTTGAAGCAGCAGCAGATGCTCAAGGAGCAGGAGCGTCAGCGGATCCTCCAGGAGCGCATTATCCCACTTCCTGACCTTGAGAACGCTGGTGGGAGTTTTATATTAAGTATGACAATTTATAATGATGACTTGTTTTTGCCAGCTTGCATTAAAATTCAAAAAATTGCTCATCGGGAAATTGTTTAGATTTTTTTCTGCAGAACCCCCCTCGTGCTGGAGGCGTTTTCTGGAATTCCTGTAGCTTTAAAAATAACAAAAGCAGTTCTCAAGCTGTTTAGATGTTAAAAACCTACTTTTAGAATTATAGGAATCCTTCGAACGGCTCTTGGAAGGCTAAAATTGAAACAGTTTATTTAAAAGAAAAACTCTCGAGTTTTCTCAAAGAAAAGTTTCATGAGGGTCTCGTCGCGGAGAGCGATTTTTGAGAAAGCGAACATTTTTGAAGATTTCACGGTTCTCTTTGACTTCTGAATCTACTAATATCAACATCTTTCCCAAAAAAAAGTTTTAAAGTCACTCTAAGACTTAGAAACTCTTCAGATGACCTCGAAGCCGTCTACGAAAGCATCCGCGAGCGGCTGATCGACTTGGAATCGGAGAACTACGACGTCTCCTACACGGTCCGCCAGAAAGATTTCGAAATCAACGAGCTCACCATCGCCGTCAACGATTTGCGAGGCAAATTGTGAGTTATTTGCAATTGATTTTCTTGAAAATATTCTTCCAAAATGATGGGACTGAAAATTTCCCAAACGTCGTCTAAAAATTGAAAAAGTCCGAAAATTGAAAAAATATTTCTTCATCGAGTTTCCAGGCCAAAAAAATGCAAAACTTCCGAAAAACAGTAAATATTCAGTTCTCTGAAACGCAGCTGAATGTATTATTGAACTATCGACCTACGCCTCTAACCAGAGTAGACTACAATTCCCTCATTGGAGTCGCTTTTACGTCAGAACTCCGTTATGAATAGAGCACTTGATAAATTTGAAAAGATGGCTGCAAAATTAGTATGGATACTGTAAAAATAGGATGGAGGCTGCAAAAATAATTAGGGGGGCTGCAAAATTAAGATGGAGGCTGCAAAATTAAGATGGGGGCTGCAAAAGTTATGATGTGCGCTGTAAAATTAAGATAGGGGCTGCAAAATTAGTATGGAGACTGTAAAAATAGGATGGAGAGTGCCAAATTAGGATGGGGGCTGCAAAATTAAGATGGGGGCTGCAAAATAGGATGGGTGCTGCAAAGTTAAGATGGGGGCTGCAAAAATAAGCGTCAAAGCGTCTTTTCAGCGTCAAGCCAACGCTGAAGAAGGTCTCGAAAACGGAAGGCAAGTTCGACAAGCTCAAGAAGAAGGAGGCGGCCAAGGTGGACTTCCGCTCCAACCTCAAGGTCGTCGACAAGAACGAGTTCGCCCTGGGAGAAGAAGTTGTCCTTTTTTTCTCTCCAAATACAAAATTATGAAATTCCAGGAGAAAGAGAAGAACAAGGCCGAGTGGGCCAAGTAGACGTCCGTCGCCAAAAAAATACGAATTTTCTCGAAACCGGCTCCCTTTTTCACTGTCGCATAAACTACATGACGTTTTATCAGATTTTGTAAAAAAGAATTGCTTGTTTTAATTGGATGAATAAATGAGAAAAACATATGGTCAAACTCTGAAATCGGCGTGAAATTACATTTTCAGGGCTCAATCCTTCAAAGTTTTCATGAAAAAGGCAAATTAATATTATTTTTCATTCCTACTCAAAACTTTTCCTGGGCCAGGTTTTCTTGATAGCCCTTCGGAATTTTAGAGCGGTCCCTAGAGGTGTTAGGGGAAAAACAGCTCCTATAGGGACCGAAAAAGCGGTACCTAAAGGGGTTAAGGGTCAGACCCCTTAGGCTCTAAAGCTTAAGTGGTCCCTATAGGGGTCTCCCAATTTCATTCAAAAAGGTTTTTTTTTTAGATTTCACATGAAAATGCTTCTTCGCTTAGAGTTCATAACAATTATCGACTAGCATGGTCCCCAGAGTGACCACTTCTGCAAGCTTCAGTTGCCCCTATAGGGGTTGGTAAAGTGGTCCTTAAGATTTTCAAAAGGCCTATCCAGCTTTTTCTCCAACCGTTTTTGGCCTTTTCCATAATTTTAAATAAGTATGGAAGGTATTCAATAGGATACTGTAGAAAATCAGTGATCGATGAAACAAGATAGCGACAAAAACGTGGTTTTCGGGAGAATAGAGCATTTTTCTTGGGAGATAATGGTGCAAATTGAACTCTTACTGATAAACGTTCATCACAGGCTAAAAAGAACGAAGTATTACGAGGAGAATTTCGTGGAACGAAACACGTGCACCACGTGATTTTCTCTGAACTGTTCGCCGTCAAAGATCAGCGCCAACCGGAGAAAAATTTGAAAATTACGATTTTTCGGTTGAAAGAACAGCCGCTACAAGATAGAGGCTCGAAAAAGGTCCTAGAAAGGCAGCAAAAAGAGTCCTTAACATTGTTTCTGGGATTTTAAAGGCTCAGGAAATGGTGCGAAAAGGGAGAGGCAGCAAAATTGGTGCATAAGAGCCGATAAAATGGCGTAAAAAGGCAGCAAAAATGGTGCATAACAGCCGATAAAATGGCCCAAATAGGCAGCAAAAAAGGAACATTTCTATGAGGCCTTTTCGAACTCTTCCCAACTATTCGTATAAAAAAAATAGATATCCATTTTTTTTTTGAGATTCATGTTACATAGGCAACGTAGGAGAGGATGGAAAAAGGCTTTATAAAAATGTTCTTTTAGGGTGACAGAGGTTTCTTTTTTGCTGCCTTTTTGCCGCCTTTCATGGGCTGCTGTGCACCATTTTTGCTGCCTCTCCCCTTTTCCACCATTTCTTGAGCCTTAGAAATCCGAGAAAAAAAATGGAAGGCTTGATAAAGGGCCCTTTTTGCAGCCTTTTTTGAGTCTTTTTCGAGCCTCTGTCTTCTAGCGGCCATTGTGCCCGAGTAGGTTGGTCAAATAACTGACTAAATTATATTTTTGTTCCTTTCTTCAAATAGACATGATTGCTCATCAATAACTGCTTACTTACTTACTCAGATGATGACTCACCTTTGCTTCTATTGATCGAAGACCCCAAGTTTCCCAGGAAGTCAGGTCATCCAGTGTTGTCCTGGTGGACTTGCAAAAAAAATCCATTCATGGTGTTGAACGTGTTGAAGCATATTTCGGCCTTGCCAGAGCTAAAAAGACCGTCCATTCTTAGCCGAAGCAAGCCGAACTGCGTGACCGGTGTATTGTTAGTCGCCATAAATGGCGTTGCCTTCTCATTACCCCGTAGAGTTGGTACTTGAAGGGGTTTTTTTCATTATTATTATTATGATTTCCTCTTTGATAATTCCTTCGATATTAAGGGCGCGCCGTAGCTCAACAGGTTGTGTGCCTGTCTACGGTCCACAGGGTCACAAGTTCGATCCCCGTCCCGATCCAACCAAGAGGTTTAAGAAATGTTGTGAGTAAGAAACGTGGTAGTGAGAAAAGTGGTAGGGAGAAACCACGACTTGAAAATCCCCAGCCGTCACACACAAGGACGGATATGGCACTGGAGCCAGTCCACTTATTATCAGGATAGGACCTCGGCTAATCGACTTGGGGCGCCGACGCCGCTCAAGCGGTACAAAGGCGTAGGAAGAAAAAGAATTTCTTCGATATTAGTCAAATTCTCTGGAAAAAATGACACCAAACTAAAATCCACCAGAAACTTTTTTTTTCGCCGCTTTTCTTTGTGGTTTGAGATGTGCCACGTGCTGAAACCGAACAACGTGATCACAAATTACTGAAAACCGATTAGGACCCGGCGTTCTTTATCGGAAGCCTTTTGCTCGATAAGAAGTGTGTTTGTCAAAAAGTAGAAGTATAAAAAGGGAGCAGTCAACCGGTTCAATCATTCTTTATTTAATACTTTTCCGTTCCCCATTAATTGATTCTAAAGCTTTTTCCTCTCAATATAATCACTTGAGTGACCTCTTGAAAGATTCTGAAGTACTAAGGCAAAGTCGAAAAGGGTGGAAGAAGGGCTCTGTAGAAAGGTTCCTTTTTGCTGCCTTTTTGGGCCATTTCCTCGGCTGCTGTGCACCATTTTTGCAGCATCTCCCTTTTTAAACATTTTTTGCACCTTTAAAGTCCCAAGAAGAAGTGGAAGGCTCAATAAAGGGCCCTCTTCGCTGCCTTTTTGCTGCCTTTCTGCAACCTTTTCTGAGCCTCTTCTTATTAGCGGTCAATATCGACCATTCCGACTTTGCCCGAGACTCATCTCAATAATTGTCACACTGCTACCTATCTTCTGAATTATTCAAAAGCCTTGATTTCAGTGATGCTGACCAAAGTCCTTGCTGTAGCCGTCCTTCTCGCCGCCACCGAGGCTCGCAACATCCGCGTCTACAACAAATGTCCATTCACCATCTGGCCAGGAATCTTGGGCCCTGGAAATCCGGCCGGCGGCGGCTTCCGCTTGGACGGCGGCCAAAGCCGAACCGTTTCTGTGGACGACGCCTGGACCGCTGGCCGCGTCTGGGCTCGTACGGGCTGTGACGGGAACTTCAACTGCGAGACTGGCTTCTGTAGGGTTAGTAGGCTTCAAAATGTGAAGTTTGCAAGTAGTTTTTTCGTCGGTCGCAGTAAAGTATGCTTCCTGAGTAACTGCGCAACGGAGCGTAGTTTGGTTATTGTATTCCAGAAACCTATTTTCTACTAATCTCCTTAACATTTTTGACTCGAAGAAGCGAGGGAAGAACTATTTTTCGAAAAAAGGTGCTTTCAGAACACAGAGCAATGCAACGGCGCCGGCGGAGTCCCACCAGTTTCCTTGGCCGAGTTCACCTTGAAGGCGTGGGGCAACGAAGACTTCTACGACGTCTCCTTGGTCGACGGCTACAATCTCCCCGTTCTGATCATGACCGAAGGCGGAAATAGTTCGTTTTATTTTATTGAAAAAATTTGGACTATACAAGGCAAAGAAGACAAAAATCATATATTTTTAAGGTAACGTTAACATTTCTTTGAAAGTTCATTCATTAGGACTTTTAAATAAATCGGAAAACATTTTATTTTTGTGCCATTTCCAGTTTACTAGTAGTATATCAATGAAAAGGGTATAGGGTCTAATTTCACCGAACGACATTCCGGTGTTCCGCTGCGTGCGGTTGCGAAGCGTTTTTGTGGAAGGAAATGCAAAACCAAAAATGAAGGGGGCGGATCCGTCTCTCCCCTTTGACGTCATGAGAAACAAGCGTCAGCAACAGGGAATATTAAAGGCGCATGTTCAATGGGTCAAGAGACGAATCGATTTCTCATCGAAAAACGCAATTCTTCTGTTGCCGTGTTCAAAGTGATTCCGCGAACTTCAAAATAGCCGCCAGATAATTGAATTTCGGAAGTTCAGTGATCGTATACTATTTCGCGAAAAATATTCTGAACACGGCATGTGTGAGAGCGCCGCAGTGCATGCACAAGACACACAACACTTTACGGAAAAAAAAACATGTCAAAAAACTCTGTGTGCGTAGATAAAATGGTACGTTGGGAGCACGAGTCAAAATCTTTAATAAAAAAAAAAATTAATACCGAGACTCGCAAATGCACAGACGCTTCGCGACCGCACGCAGCGGAACAGCGGAATGTCGTTCGTTGAAACTCCAAGTCTTTTTAAAGTCATTTTAACAGCATTCCCTTCGAAGTGCGCGGTCTATTTCTGAGCATGCGCCTTTTATTTGGCATAAAAGTTAAATTAAAGGCGCATGCACAGACAAAGGCCGCGCGCATCAAAAAGAAGGGTCTTGTAGCTCAAAGGAATGAAAAGTGACTTTCTCCTTATTCCAGACTGCAAAATCGCCGGCGGTTGCGTCAAGGACATCAACCAGGAGTGTCCGGCGGCGATGGCCGTGAAGGGACACAACGGCAACACGGTGGCCTGCAAAAGCGCCTGCCTCGCCTTCAACACGGACGAGTACTGCTGCCGCGGGGCCTACGGAACCCCCGACAAGTGCCATCCCAACCAGTACACGCAGATGTTCAAGGACGCCTGCCCCACCGCCTACAGCTACGCCTACGACGACGGCACCTCCACCTTCACCTGCCAGCCGTCCGCCAACTATGTCGTCCAGTTCTGCTAAATAATGAATAAATCACGAAACAGCTTTCCTTGTACATTTTTTGACATAAATCTCTTCTTCGTCTTTTTTTTTCTGAGGAAAAATCGTTAAATCGCAAAAAACGCCACGAAAAGGACTTTTCGTCTAGTAGAAGGGATTTGGAAGAACCTGAAAAGCTGTATTTCAAAAAATACATGAAAGAAAAACGATTTCTCTTCCAGTTTTGAAAAACTACAAACTGCAAATCGATTTTCCTATTTTTCTCGTTTACAGTACACCAACGTCCGCAGACACCCCGACGCGAATACCGCTTGTCCTAAATTTTCGAAACAATTTATCAAATTGTCCTCATTTCTTTTCGCAAGAGAATGTTTTTAATGTATAAGAGTAATTTTACTTTTACAAAACACCGATTTTTTTATAATATTAAAGACACTACTTTTCTGAGTATATCATTTACTTCCGCTCATTTTTTTTTCGTTTGTTCCGTCTTTGCTATTTTCGATAAACAAACACAATTCAGAAGTTCTAGCTTTCAACGTCCCCAACAAAGGAGCTTTTGACGTTTTCGGACAGTTTGAGTCGAAAAATGGGGTGAGTGCAACTTCAAAATTTGAATTAAGCAGTGAAATTGTATACTTTTTTTCTATATATAGAATATAGAAGTTTGACCTCGGAATTTTCCAAATTTGTAGACCATTGTTTCTATAAACGATTTTTATAGTAGAAGTGAAGTTGAAAAAAATGGAACTTCGAATCCACGAAAAAGGTATAGGGGTAGTAATGAAATTTTCGGAATTTTTGCTAATTTTCGAGCTCGAAAAATTTGAATCTGATGATTCAACCTTTTATTTATTTGGCCAACTTTTTTTCAAACTTTTTCTTGTTCATGTTATTTTTGCTCTGCCTGTGGATAAATATTATTATTAATTTTTTTGAAATCTGAGAATTATCAACACTTTACTGAAATAGTTCTTTTTCAAAAAAATTGCAATTTTTTTCTTTTTTTCTTTTTCAGGAGAGTGCGTAATAATTATTTATTGCATTGAGCTTATTATACACTTCATAATGAAATCGAAAAAGGTGTTAAGAAGAAAGAATATAGAGCAAGAAGAACAGATGGAATGATGTCAACAAAAAAAAATTAAACGTTACAATTTAACCGTTGTATAGCGTGGAGAACGATCAATAACACTCCTATGAGTATATATATATATATATATATATATATATATATTTATCTCACAAAAAAATAATCATAACGCTTAAAAAAACTATACAAAAAGTCTAGAACAACAGTTAATAACCAACCAAATATTGGGGTATAACATATAGGCCAATAAAGGGTCCTACGCAGAAACAATGATCGGTAGCGCGCACATAAGTTGCGTGTAGGTTTACGGAGTTTCCGCAATCCACAAAACTGACATTTCACATTAATTCAGTAACGTTTACATTGAATAGCCGTGATAATTATCAGAAATTGCTCATTTCTATTGTTCGATCATTCCCTGCACTTTTTTTTCGTTTGAACTCTGAAAGAGAAAGAATGAACTTGATTGAAGAGGTTTCTTTAAAATTTGTCGCTATTAGAAAATTTGGATGTATCAAGAGAGAAGTTTTATACCTGTCTTCAAAATGATCCGATCCAACATCTTTCCTCAGCTTTTTTCGAATCCAGATCTTGAGCTCAAAATGCTTCTTCTACCCCAAAAAGTCGAAAATTCAAGCTCAAGGTGCTCGAAAAAGCTTTCAATCATGAGGACAAAAAACCCTCAAAATCTATAGTCTTTTCGATTTGCTCTAGAAGAGAGAAAAAGAGAGCCCAGACAGCTGAAATGTTTCATTTTGCGGCTCACTTTCCATTATCCAAAAATAATTTATTTCCATATGCTTCTTTTTTGTATCTTCAACAGTCTAGCTGTCTGCGCAACTTGAGTTTTTTCCTCAGTTCCAAGGTCTGATGAAGTTCAAAAGTTCTTTGTCTTTTTCAAATAAATGCCGAAGTTCGAGTTGAAGCTAACGTTTTAGACTGCTGAACTCTTCCCCAAAAAACCAACTATAAGCTCAAAACCAATAACTCGATTTTGAGACCGAAAAGCGTTCTTGAAGCAGTGTTCAAAGCGAGTCCGCGAAATGAGAAACAGCCGTCAGAGAAAGAAAAAGATAACTGAAACATGGAGAGTCAGAGATAATTTTGCAGTTCGCGGAACTACTTTGAACACGGCATCTCTCTGTTATCAAAGTTCTTTTGCCGAATGGGTAAGAGTATTCTGAGTCCAACTACGAATCAAAAAAGTTCTTACCGCTGCCGCTGGTATCCACGCGATTGCTGAAGAACTCCCGATAGACATTCCTGTCAAACTGTTGCTCAATGAGGCTATCGTATCAATATCATCCATCGTGGGCAACTTTTGGACCTCGGTCTCCAGTTTATTGATCGCATCTCTCAAATTATCTTTGGACATATTCATCGCCGATTTCGATTTTTGTGTCCTGTAAATTGAAAAAGAAAAATATTTTTTTGGAAAGGTTTTTGTTCATTTTCAATTTTAATACGAATTCATGGACATTCTATTCGGTCTTTAAGTTATGAGGACACAAAGACTTTTGAAAAAAATTCGAAAATCTTTTTTTCTGAGATTTACTTTAAAAAATCCTGTTCAGGTCTCTATGATTCCTAAAAACCGCCAATAGACTCTCCTTTTTTCAGTGAGAATTGGAATCAAAGTCAGTTTGCAGCGATTCTTCCTAGCTTGCCCTGTTGGACTCCTAAGACAAAAAGCGTTGCGCCCGACCAGATTCGGCTTACGCCCTTGTCTAGCGTCCAATTAATTTTGAAAACTACAAAAAAAAAACGAACCCCGGAGGCATTGATCGTTTGAGCGGTAATTCTACCGATTTGTTTGCTCATTTCGTTGATTCCTTCGAGACGGTCCTGTAAATGAACATCTCTCTTAAATCTGAAAAAACTAGAAATAAAAGGTTTGGCGATCTGAACTTTTGCGTGACGGTGTATTTCACAACAGTCATTTTTGATGCTAGAAACCTCCGAAATGAACGTTTGAACGATGATCGAATGAACTTTCAGCGATAGTTCAATTCAAAAGACGTTTAACGAAATGTCGAGAATCTGACCGATGAATGTTAATCTTGAACGTTGATTTTGAAAAGCGTTCTAATTTCAATTAAAAAACGAGCAGTCATTCAAATGAACCGAACGGAAATGTTCTATCAGTTACAAAAATGAGGGTGTACCCCGCAGTGAACCTCGGAAAAAAGTGAACTTTTCGTTGATGTTTTCGGTGTACCTGGATGGCGTGCACCACTGGGGCAACCGGTCGGAAATAAAAAACTTTTTTGACCTAACGTTAAAATCTAGGATGAAACTGTAGAAAATGCTGATATTGGGAAACAAAACACTTCGAAATCGTGTGCGGATCAAGTATCTTAATTGGCATTTAAAGCTAAACGGGGGTATACCCCTGATTACGCTTCGGGGTGCACCGAGAGTTCGATACGGGGTGCACCGCAACTTTTGTTCATTCAATATTTGGTGACAGAATGTTCAAACGCGCTCCTCGGTCATTTTGGGGAGCTCTAATCGAGTCTTGTTTTTGTGATTGGAAGAACTATAGTTATTTGAAGCGTTGCCCAAACGTCCTACTTTAAGTTGCATCCTCATGTTGGGGTTCAAAGCGGAAAACTGCTCGACTCTGCTTCGCGCCTCTTGGACCACGCTCGAAAAGTTTGTGAGCGGAGTTTCTCGGAATTCGCGCAGAAAAGTCTGAAAATTGAAAATTTTCATAGGAAAAAAAAAAGCTTTGCGTACAAAGATGAATCGGGAAGTCGATACAAGTAGCTACCGGGTAGCAACTTTTGAAAAAGTCAATCGGCGTATGGTAATCGGTGGTCGTTTGTGTGCGACCGGGTACTATCTCTATGGTACCTGGGTCGGAGGTCGATGCAAGTAGCTACCGGGTAGCTACCGGACATTCGCGATTTCTTTCGGAAAGTCTGGAATTGCTTCCCGGGATGTTATTTTTTGTTTCAGCTTTATCCAATAAGACCGTGGAAGGCTTGGGAAGGTGTAAAAAAACACTGGTGGTATATAAACGACCGATGTGCCAGTCAGTGGAAATCGCGAATTTCAGGTACCTACCCGGTAGCATCCAGATACCGATCAGGTACTATCCAGGTACCATAGAGATAGTACGCGGTCGCATACAAATGACCACCGATTACGATTCGCCGATTGGATGCTGATTGAATTTTTTTTTCAATTTGACTTGAGTTTTGAGAGCTTTAGAATGTCTATAGACGATTCACGGCTAGCTTGGGACGCAAAAAGGCGTGGCCTGTCTGCACTCTCCACCAACCAGGGCACTGTCTCGTCACTTTTCGTGACAGGACCCTTTTCTCGATGGCTCAAGCCAGCCGTTGATCAGCTATAGGTCCATTAGGGAATGAAATAAGTTTTTCTTTAATATCAGAATTGGCTAAAAAAAAAAGTCAGAATCATTTTTGAAAACAGAAAGGAAAAAAGGCCAGGATTACTAGGACCTTCGGCGAAATATTCAGTTTGGCTAACGCTAAGTTCTTCATCCGGACCACATTTTCATCTCACCTTCAAGCCAAAAAAAAATATCATGAACAAGTGTTGGTTCAAAAAAATTGTTCTGTTAATAACTTCAGATGCAAATTCAGTTAGCTCAACCCAAAAAAAAATCTGCTCCTAGAAAATATTCACCTTGAGTGCTTCGCCGTTTTTCTCATCATCGAGGAACTTGTTGATCTGAAAACAATTTCTATTCGGAAAAGAAAAAAGTTAGGACAGCTTGAGCATTTTTTATTGATTTGACTGACGAAAAGAGAGAGGACATATTCCAAAAAACGCCCTAAAATACACAATTCAGATAGGCTTTTCCCTGTTTTTTGGAGGAAATAATGAAACTTGAGGGCTATGAAAGACTTCACTGAGTTGCTCCCGAAACGAGAAAAGCGTAAATTGAAGAGACACCAGAGAATGAAAGATTGTCGATTTCTCTGGCGTCTCTTCTAGCCCCCTCTGTTCTCTTGAAACGTGAATTTTTTTTATACGAAAGGATAAAAATTTGTCGTGAGAACTATCCAACAAAACACAAGCCTCTGCGTAGATGTCGCTAACGGAATGTCCGATATGCTCGTGAGAGTCTCGAATTCTGCGCATTTCGGCGTGGACGGTTCCTTTCTGGTTCAGTCCTTCGACGACCATACCGGTCTTAACCTTGTTCTTCTTCTGGTCGACTTTCTTCTGATACAATTCGTTCTGCAATCGAATTGTAAATGGGCAAACTGGCTTCCTCACAAGGTTGAAACTTCACTGGAAAATGCCTAACAAGGGAGATCGTTTCCTATTATGGTTGAGAATTTCCTGAAACTCGGTCAGATTCTCCGATGTCAGATAGAGACGCGAAGCGGTTCTAGTTTGAGCCCATATTTCCCCAAAACTAGAGGTTTGGTCTGGCTGAATTTTCCAGCATCTTTGTCCGGTCTGTCACGGAGAATGCTCTTCAGAAAATTCCCAATCACAAAGTGAAATCAGTTTCCTTGTAAGCCTGGGTCTTCCCTCTAACACACCGGGTGTCGGAAAAATCCCTATTGGTTGATTAACAAAGAAAAAAAAAGTTTGATTCCAGAAAAAGAAAAAAATGTGTCACGATGGATCTTTTGAACGCTTGGCAAAAATGAATTTCTTCAAAAGAACTCGAACCCTGAACTCAGCCACCGTAGTGCAAGGAGGCTAGCCACTACACCACGCGGTCATCAGGAATCGAGGGCGAATACGCAAGCCTAATCCCCTTTTTTCTCTCATCACTGATTCAGCGTGCAAACTTTGAAGCTCCGTACCTCGAAAACAATATCTATTGCGAGACATTTTTCTCTTGTTCTGGGATCAGGAGGTTGCAAAGATCGTTTTGCCAAAACTCCAATCATTCAAAAAATTTGGTAAGCCATTTCCGTGGATGGAACGAATTGAAGATTTTGTGGAATTAAAAAACTTTTTCTCATTCTCAATAATTTTGAAATGATGATTGAATATCGTGAAAGTCAGCAAAGTTTTATCAAAAGTTCAACCGGGGATTTCCTAGTTTGTAGAAAACAAAAAACCGATTTTTCAACTTCAACTCACCTCTTTTTTCTTCAACTCTTCCTTCTTCTCTGCCTCGAAGTCCCTGATACTCTTCTCGGCCGCCGTCTGCCGATTTGACTTGCTCTCCGCAACCTTCACCCTTCGCTCTCCGAGGCTTTTTTTCGTCTCGTTAATTTTCTTCAGCAAGTCAGCAAGCTGTTTCTCCATCGGAACGTTTTGATCTTCGATGTTTCTCAATTCTTCCGCCTTCTGCGCTTCCAGATTTGCAGTTTGATGATGATGAGTCTGTTCCAAAGCCTTGATGGCTGCGTCGTTGTCGTGTTGGATTTCGTTGAGGGACTCCTGGATACTCTGGAGGGCCTTGTTCCTGAGATCCTCATGGTTGACTCTCATTTTTTCCATCTTTTTTTCATGGCTCAGTGCGATCTGGCTCGTCTCCTCGATCATTCTCCCGATTTCCTCGTCAACCGCCCGGATTTCGGCCAAGTTTACTTCATTCTCCATTGCCGCAGCAAGGACAGCCAGATTATCGTTCTGAAAAAGGTCTTTTTTCTGATATTAGTTAGAAAATCCCACCTCCGCCATGATTTGTCCGAGTTGCGGCTCTGAAAAAAATAATTTTTGAATGGAGGTCGCAGGTAGAATGGCTCTGAGTCATTCTAAATGCGACCAGAGGTCGAAAATCTACATCAAAAATTTTAGAAAAATTCCATTTAAAATGATTTTCTCGCTGTTTCTAGAGAAGCGAAAGATCTAGAGACGCTAGAAAAATAACTAAATTTTTTTTTTAGTATTCTGATGATCTCTCGCTTTTCATTATGATGCGAGAGAGCAGCGAAACGTGAAGAGACGTCAGAGAAGAAAAGAGTTTTTTCTCTCTGGCGTCTCTCCAGCCTACCGCTGATCTCTCTTCAGTCTTTTTATAGGCGTTATTTGAATCAAAGTTGGAAGACGATATAGGGGGAAGAGAGATATAAATGGAAATCCAATCAAAGAAATTAAAGTGGAAAACTAATCGAATAGTTTATGTACAAGGTGAAATATTAGAGATATAAATTTAAAACGTTTTGTTGGGCCGCAGAGGTGTTCCGATGTGTCGATGATCATCTGAAAACAAGTTTCAGTTGAAAATATTGCATTTTATTAACTCACTCGCTCATTATTTCGTCGCGGAAAGAGCTTTTCCTGCTGACCGGATCTTCAGTTTCTTCGCAAATGAATCTCAAACGACTCAGTTCGTTTTCATAGGTTGCCAGAGATTTCTGGATCTCCTCGTAGCTCGCCTCTTTTTTACCCTGAACTTTGTGATTTTCTCTTAGAAAACGACCTTAAGAAGCTCGGAACGAGTTGGCACTGTGGCTGTCTAGCTCGCTCTTTTTTGGAAGAACAAAGCTACTGTTTTTTTTTGGGAACTTTTTGCGAACTTTCGACAGCTTTTTTTTCTCAAATATCTTTATCAATCCATCTTCACAACTTTCTTTCGAAGAAAAAAATTGACAAAGACCCACCTCCACTGAACATTGAACGTCGTTGATTGCGCGATTCAATTGGTTCAATGAGGTTCTCAGCGTGCTCAGAGTTTCCTGAAATCGAAATTGGCTTCGGAATTTATTTCGAAGAAGATAAACTCACATTCAAGTTTTCTCGTCTTTTAGGATCAACTCTAGTGTTCGTACGGCACTCACTAGAGAATTTGGTTACTTCATTCCGGACATTTATAACGGATCTCGTCGCCGTCTCAAGTAGAGACTGAAGGATTCCTCCTCTCTGAATTTGTTGGTTTCTTTCAGTTTCAAGCATGTTTTCTATTGCTTTCCAGCTAATGATAAGAAAAACTTGCCTCTTCTGAATTGGTATTTGGAACGACATCCACATAATCGCTAGGCGTTCTGGGGATCTTTGAATTATAGGCGGCAATCTGGAAAAAAGGAATCGATAAAACTTGAAGGGCTGATATATTGAAACCAAGAAAGTGAGATTGTTTGAAAACTTCATTTTACTTCAGTTAGGCTTACAATGAGCAAAAAGCCATTTCTGCGTAGGGTTTGGAATTTTCTATAAATTTGCTCAAAGGATCTTTGATGGACTGGTAATCGATCCCGCATAGTAGCTATCTGCGCAAACCTTTCGTTTTGGAGATATGATTTTTTAAAGTTTTCATCCTTAAACACGTGATACTGTTCGGAAGGAATAATAAAGTAATTTTTGGAAGAGAATGGCCATTGAACGGTTTTGGAACGTTTTTATTCATGAAATTTCGACATGTTCATCATGATCCGGCAAAAATCGATAGCCGCAAAAAGATTCGAACCTTCATCATAGGCTTCGCAGGCTACCGCGCTAGCCACTGCACCACGCGCCATGCAAAGACTTGTGCTGCGGATATATTCCTTCCGAACAGTATCACGTGTTTAAAGAGGAAAACTTTGAAAATTCATATCTCCCAAACGCAAAGTTTGCGCAGATAGCGACTATGCGGGATCGATTCTCAGTCCATCAAAGATCCTTTGAGCAAATTTATAGATTATTCCAAACCCTACGCAAAAATGACCTTCCACGTGATTATCTAGATACCTGCTTGAGATATGATTTTTCAAAGTTGCAAATGCTTCTTTCTAATAGATTGTTTATTCATTTTTGCGTGAAAAAAACCTCTCTATTCAATCTTCCCAGCTGGTCACAGAGGCTGTCGGAGATGGTGTTGATACTGTTAACGTTATCGGCGAAGATATGCTGAGCCTGCCTTCCTTGATAATCCTCCAGGTATCTCTGATGATCGTGGCTAGTCTCGTCTGTGGCTCTCTGCTCCCGCTCTTCCAGAACCTCCATCGCTTTCTTGATACTTCTCTTGGATCGCTTCTTTCTTGGCGTTCACATCCCTCTCGCTCGCCTCGACCGCGTTCCGCTCTTCAGACTCCAACTTTTCGGCTTCTTCTTCCAAGCCGGCCAATTTACTCTTCGCTTCTTCGAGTTGCTTCCTGATTCTCTCCTGACGTTCCAAGGCCTCCTTGACGGAGTCCGTCATACTTCTCCTCGATTTTTCTTGGCCAGTCAAGTACGAGCTTTTAAGGGCAGCCATTCTTTCATCGTGAACCTTCTTGGCTGCCCGAAGTTTTCGTTCGCCCTCGGCCGCGATGGTCGCCATCTGCTGTTGTTGATCCGACTCCTCTCTTTCGACTTCTGATTTCTTGGTCGCATCTCAAGTCGTACAGTTCTTGTTCGAGACTTCTTTGCTCTTGGAGTTTCTCTTCGAGACTGGCCTGAAAATACTTCAAGTTGAAGAGAAAGATGTTCTCGTAAGGAAGGCCATTTTACTTCTGGTTGGAGACTTCTTGAAGTGTGTTGTTTGGAAAACCATGCTTGAAATCTGGCCCGAAACACCTTTACTAAATGGATACTCTAAAAGCCTTAACCTGCCAAAGTTCTTTTTTTCGAGAAAACCCATCCAATATCAAGGAAAGCCATCAGAAACAGCAATAGGGCCGTTCTGAATCATTTACTACTGAGAAAATAAGGATTTCTGCGGGATTGAGACTCTCTAAATCTTCTTGCTTATCAAACAACAATCGGACCAACTTTCAAGAAATTCCACAAACTAAAATGACCTCCCTTGTTAGGGCATGCATCTCCGAAAATCCTTGCTCTGTCAGATGTGAAGTGACCAAAATAATACGCTAAACGGGCCGTGTGCCTCGTTTAAAACAATCCATGCGCCTTTAAAAACTCTACCACAACATTTTCTCATTGATAATCATGCAGCTGAATTCAATATTGACGGTCGGAAAAAGAAATGAAGTAATCCCTTGAGTGGCTTTTCATTTTTTGAGTAAACTGATAAACTTCAAACCCCTAACGGTAACGTGAAGTGGCATGCAGATTTGAAACAGCTTTCTCTGACTAGTTTAAGTTTCTTGGGACCCTCAAGTGATCCCTTGAATAATGGTCGCATGCAGAATGGCTATTCAATCACTCCAAATGTTTCGGCGCGTAAGTCGTTTTAGGTCGGGTGAGCTTTAGTCAATCAGAAAGCCATTCTACTTGAGACCATAAGATTTTGGAATAGCGTTTTTTTGTAAAAAAGGCCAGTTAAAACCTTAGACGCTTGCGGTGGCGCCGCAGATTGGAGAGCGCCCTATAAAAAAGAAACGCTAAAAAGCATTGGAAGCTTTAAAAACGGACCATTTTGAGAAGAGGATAGAAGAAGGACGAAGTGAGCTGAAATAAAATGATTATCTGTTATTATTATGAATGGAAATGTCACGGTATTCTCAAAAACAGGAAGGGTCTTTGCGTATGAAACTAGGGAGAGAACGAAAAACGTTTGATAAGAAATTCCTGTGACAAGGCGAAGAGATGAAAGAAAGGTGATAATGTTGTTCTCGGCAGGGAAAACGACTTTTGATCAAGGGTGACTTATTTCGCAACTTTCAGTAGAATTAAAGTTTTTATTCGGAAATCGACTATGAAACCTTCTGATCGCATGTAGAAGGGTCAAGAAAAAAGAAAAAAGAGATTCAAGTTCCCAGAGTGCGCAAGTCGTTTTGAGGTCGGTCCCTTATTGAGCCATTCCAAATGCGACCAAAGTTATGAAAGAGAAAAATAGTTGATTACTTAGTATGAGGGGAATGTTGGAATTTTTGTGAAATTTATTATTGGCAATTTTGGTATAAATATAACTTTTTCATTGTTTTTTTCGTTGATTTAGAAACCGACTGTAAAAGTTTTCTAATGCTTCAAAGTGGATTATTTTCTGAAACGGCTTAGAAATTTGAAAAAAATCATGATCGGCATGTATTTCACTTCTAGATGTAAGTCATGGAAATATAGAGCGAATTTTTCACTCACGAATATATTTTTTTCAATTCATTTATACCTAGAAGTGAGTAGAGGAAAATGCAAGACGAGACAAGAGATATGAAAGAGATAGGAAACTTGGGAAATTTATAGAAAGCACGCACAGAAGATAGTATGAGCAAGGAGAAGGAATTGATTTTTAACCCGTCCAACATGCCGTCGCTCAAGCTCCGCCCCTAATAGTGCGATAAACCAATCAGAGACCGAGCCATCCACAGAGTGTTTCTGAATGACGTCATCGCACTTGACATTAAAAATATGAACATACTAATAGTAGTAGTTCCAATTAAAATTTTAAAGAGGTCACTAATTCGACTGGCTACTAAAACGTCAAAAACACTAAAAAGGTCTTAAAAACTTCCCATATTTTCTTAAAATTGAATTGGGTGTAGCTTTAGCCAAGGTGGGCAGATTGGAGAAGGCTCACGATTGTGAGATTGTCAAGTTTATATAGTCTGTTCAGATTTTTAATGTCAAGTGCAATGACGTCATTCAAAAACACTCTGTGGATGGCTCGCTCTCTGATTGATTTATCGCACCTATAGGGGCGGAGCTTGAGCGACGAACAGACATTCAAAATCTGAACAGACTTTCAGGCGACATGCGCAGAAGATAGTATGAGCAAGGAGAAGGAATCGATTCTTAACGCGTCCAAAAAACACCGAGGGTGTAGCTCTAGCCTGGGTAGGTGGTTTGGAAAAGTCTTTCAGGATATAAAAAAACATAGAAGGAGAACAATGCTTTGAAAAAAAAAAGAAAAACAAGCTGATCTTTTTCCAATTTTTGAGTGATAAACATGAAATTATAACTACACAAAAAAAGTCTTTTTCATTTGCAATAAATTTTTCCGAAGCTTGAAATGATAAAGTCTTGGGGAAACCTATAAAATTTACTAGAACTATTATGAGAAACAGGAAAATATTGATCTTTGACGCGTTTCAAAGTACAGTGTAGTTACTTGAAATTGAACGCTCATCAGTTTTTTTTCAATGAACATGGCCGATTCACGGCTCGCTTGTGGGCGTGGCCTGTCTGAACCCTCCACCAACCTGGCACTGTCTCGCTTCTCTTCGTGTCAAGACCTCTTTTCGATGAATCAAATTCGAAAATGAGCTGTTGAAAAAAGGGCACGGATTAAAAAAAAGTTATTTAATTTTCTCTGGGATAGTCTTCAGGGACAGGAAAACAGTTTTCAAAGAGGAAAGTTAAAATGATAAGAATGGGGGACTTTTTAAACATTTATAGGGCTGGAGAAACCAAGTATGAGCAAGGCTGATCACATGAGCAATTTCTATACTCCGTTTTTCGCGACTTGAGAGGGCGGGACTTCTCTGCGCCCTCCTCGTGTCTCGTTAACCCTCTCTTGTTGACGCGCTGTTTTCATGGTTCTCTGACCTCGCCGGTGAGGGAACAGAGAGACGCAGACACTCGAAAACTGTCAATTCACGGCAGAAGGATAGATAAACGTTTTCGAAATTTTAACTGAAATATTTCCTAACTGAGGTGATAATTTTTAAGATGCCTTCAGTGACCAAAAAGTAATGTGGAGCTGTAGCAGAAAAACGCTTGGAGGACAATTCGTCTCAGTTTTTATAATACAGTTTCAAATATCTCCGGAAAAAGATGTTTCTGAGACCAAGGAAACCTGGTAAGTGAAAAACTTCTTTGAGCGCGACAAAACGAAAAAGATGAGGAATTTGTGGCTAGTATGAGCAATCAGGTGCAACCAATCTCTAGTTTTTTCCAAATGGCTTTTGCAAAACGTTCTCATTCACTTTTGCCGTTTCCAAAGGGATTCCCACGATTTAAAATTATCTCTGGCTCTCCAAAATTCAATTGCCTTTTTCTTTCTCTGACGGCTGTTTTGATTTCCACAGACGGCATTAATCATTTTCGAAAACGTTAGAAAAAAAAAAGCTTCCCACGTATTTTAAATTGTCATCCCGCTTCGTCTAAAATTTCCGTTTTATTAAAGGCGCATGCGAAGAAGTATAGCTGATTCACGGCTGGCTTGAGCCATCGAGAAAAGGGTCCTGTCACGAAAAGAGACGAGATAGTGCCCTGGTTGCTGGAGAGTGCAGACAGGCCACGCCTTTTTGCGTCCCAAGCTAGCCGTGAATCGTCTATGGATCGGGAGTATCGAAGCGAAGCCTCAAGGAAGGGTTCTCTAGCTCTGGGGGAGATAAAAACCGTGACAAGGGCGCGGAATGGGCTATATCATTTTAGAAAACTGATTCAAAAAGAGTTATTAACAACTTTACATGAAGGAATGTGAAAGAAGAATGCGAGAAAAAAGAAAAAAAGTTGCACTGAAATTTGTAGAGTGGTGAGAAAAACTAGTATGAGCAAGGGAACGCAATCGATTGCAGCTGCCGTTCTCTTATCATTTATCTCTCTCTCCCTTGTTTCAACAACCTTTTCTCTCACGTTTTTCCCACCAACGAGTGTGAAATCATGATCGAATGAGTTGTGTTTAGTTTAACCTTGGAAAGAAAAGTCAAAGAACACGGAGCAAAGAACATAAATGGGATAGTCTCGATGGGAGGTCAAAAGGGGGGAGTAGAAGGGTACATGGCGAAAAAAACGGGGGGCGGGGGGAAGGGTTGGCAAAACCCGTAAAAACTTACTTATCTGTTGCCAGTGATGCTCATCCCATGTATGGCAAAGAGACAGTCTCACTTAGGAGCTCCAGAGTGGTCCCTACAGGTGCAACCTTAGGGTCCCTTGGAGGGTTCCCTCTATGGACCACTAAAACTTGAAAAGGTGGTCCCTATAGGGGACAAGCTAGCCGATACTTTTTATGAACTCAATGCGAAAAAAAAAATGATGATGGCTGAATGATCAATGGACTTGGAAAGGCAGCTGTTCGAGGGGACAATTTTTAATCTTTTTTTTTCTTTTTTTTTTAAATTCTAATTCAAACGCGCTCGAGAGGAAAAATCTGACTTTAGCATTTTTTTATTCACACCTCTCGAAAAAATGAAACAATTCGTAGAAAATTCAAATGGATGTTAGTCTTCTCTGATGGCGAAATGTCCTTTTGCATGGTCGCTGGGGTTCTGGAAAAAGTTCATGATTATGTTGGCAGCAATAAATGAGCTGAAGGTGTGCTGATTGAATCTAGGAGTTCAATTTTCTCCGACCTTCAAGTCCTCACATAGAGCAAGAGACAACCTTAAAAAGAGAACGAGGCGCCACTCGCGAATGGTCGGGCGCAAACGACTTTAGCGCAAATCGCGAATGGTCGGGCGCAATCGAATTCGGCGCAAGTCGTGAATGGTCGGGCACAATCGACTTTGGCGCAAGTCGTGAATGGTCGGGCACAATCGACTTTAGCGCAAGTCGAGAATGTTCGGGCACAATCGACTTTGGCGCAAGTCGTGAATGTTCGGGTACAATCGACTTTGGCGCAAGTCGTGAATGGTCGGGCACAATCGACTTTAGCGCAAGTCGCGAATGGTGGGGTACAATCGACTTTTTGAACAACCGACTGCATTCCAACAGCTTTTTTGACTTATTAAAGGATCATATGCACACCTTCAGTACTAATTTGCAACCTTTGGATTCACCATGTGAATGTGAATGAACCATACCGAAGTGATGGCCAAAAATCCGGAAGGGTCATGAATTCCTCGGCCTTCCAAGCTCATCATGAGGTACTCATCCGCGTTGATATCGTCCATCACCGAAAGGTTGGCAGCCGCTTCCAGCGCTCTCATCAATTCTCGCAATTCCTGGCTGTATTTCACGCTGATTTTGGTCCCAGCCTGAAATGACAGAAATTTTTCCTGTTTTCTTGAGATTCTAGGCGTCTCAAAAAGTACCTTCCTCCGAAAAATTTTTTTAAAGAGCTACATGTTTTGTTACGGCGCCGAATCATTAACGACTTCCCCAGCGCGTAGTTTTTCAATCAAAAATAAATAAATACCCCCTTACAAAAAAAGTGCAAAAGGTCGAGGTATTGGAATTTAATGAGAACTGGTTTATAGGTACTTCGGAACACCCTGAAACCAAATAAGTTGAAAAAAAGTGCACCTTTTTCGTTCTAGTCGAGTTAGGGCGCCTCAAAGTTCGCACGCAAAAAATGCATTGGAAGGGAGGAGGGAATGTGTTGCGGCGGGCTAACTCTAGCTGCCAGCAGGCAGCGTGGTGTAGTGGCTAGCGGCCTTGCGCTGGGGAGCCTATGATGAAGGTTTGAATCTTTTTTCGTGCATTATTTTTTTGCCAATTTTTTTCTTGGAAAAAATGATGAAGTTTTGAAGATATTGAAAAAAAAAAACGCTTCAAATGTTGAAATATGTCGTTTTTAAACAGGATTCCAATATATTTTCCAACAAAATTTTTCGATGAAAATTCTTACTGTCTATTGAGGAAAATTGAGCCTGAAAAAAATATAGAACAAAAAAATTTTCTTTCGAAAATTTTGCTCAAAACGGCATAAAATGGCGAATTTCAACATTTTCAACGTTTTTTTTCGATCCGTCTAGGAAACTTCATCATTTTTTTCCAAGAAAAAAATGGCAAAAATAAACTGCACCCAAAAGGATTCGAACCTTCATCATAGTTTCCACAGCGCAAAGCCGCTAGCCACTATACCACGCCGCCTGCTGGCTGCTGGAGTTTGTAGCCGCAACACATCTTTCCATCCAATGTGTTTTTGCGGGCAAACTTTGAGGCGCCCTTACTCGACTAGAACCAAAAAAGCGCACTTTTTTTCAACTGCTTTGGATTCAAGGTGTTCGGAAGTACCTGTATACCAAGTTTCATTAAATTCCAATACCCCCTTTCGCACTTCCCGTGTTAGGTAATGCACTTTTAGGAAGCCGTACACTTCTGTTTGATCAGAAACTTTTCGAGATAATTATTTCCAAAGATCGTTTGAAAGAACTTACCTCGGCATCTCTACGGAGCGAAACCACCAGCATTTCAATCTTTCGGCACAACTCATTGAGCGTTTCGATTTTCCCCTGAACAGTAACAAATCAATACTTTGAGCTCTGTCTCTCCAATAAACCGTCAGATCCTTCCTGTTCTCGAGCCTGAGATTCGCAAAAGTCTCAATTTTGCTTCGAGCTCTCCGAACCACCTCGCTAAACTGCGAAAGCGGGTGCTTGAAGTTCATCAGATTGATCTTTTTTCGAAAGTTGTCTTATTTTTTGTCGCAATTGGAACCTTACCGCAAGCTCCTCAACCTTCATATTGTCGTCGAGATAAGCGGAGAACTGAAAGTCTATTATTTTCACGATTCGAAAATAAATTCGAGTTCCACGCAGCCTACAAAGCTGAAGGGAAAACGCGCTCCACTGCATTTTCCCTTCGGCTCATGATTTTTAGGAGCTCCAGAGTGGTTCCTATAGGGGCAATTAAGAGCTAAGGGATGAGACCCTAAATCTCTTTAGAGACTTTCGAGGTTTACAGTTTTCAGGGGCTAAGGGATCAGACCCTAAATCCCTATAGGGAACACTTTTTTGGATCCCTAGGGGTTGTTTGAGAGTCGTGTGTAGAATTGTACAGTAGAAAGCGCAGTGCGATAAAAAAAAGGTTCATTGAACTGAAAAGTAATACATACCGAAACGTCGACATCTACGAACTGCTTCCTTAGCAGATCATGTGTATCACGGATCGCGCACAACAAGTTCATCTGCTCCTTATGTTGGTTTAAGCCTTCGGAAACGAGTTTCGCCACTTCTGGAGCTTTATTATACGCCTTGTTCCGATCTTCCAGCTCTTTCTGAAAATCTAAATAGAAGACCTAGCCCCCTTTTTCGAAAAAGAAAAGGAAACTATCTATTCATTCATTAAAGAAATGAAAATGAAGCTCGAAATTAGTAGAGCGAATTTAGGGCCGCGTGCAAAAAAGCTAATGTGCTCTATGGAAAATATTCGGGAAAATGCCCAAAAAGCTTTCAACTATATTTTTGTACATCCAAGGTCTCAGAGGTTATCGTGAAGAAATATGAGCCGCTTATTTGGACAACATGTCCGCCCCACCGACAAAAAAAGTCATTACCAAAATGTGAGAATTTTTTCAAATATCCAATTTTTTTGAATAGATTATTTCAAAAATTTTTCATAGCTGAAGCTGTAAAAAAATTAAGGGAAAGATCTTTATTTTGCTTCGAACTCAAACTATAAAAAAAACGTTGAGCTTGATTTTTTTTTTTTGTCCAGATAGACAGGGAAGGTCATTCTATTCTGCGATCAAAAAAATGGCCGGAATTCTTTTCAGGGTTGATCCTGAAAGTTTCAGCAAACTCAAAACTCTAGTTTTCGAGCCAGGGCACCTCAAAGTCGAAGAAGTCCGTAAAAAAAAAGATGGGCACTTTTGAACTGTTGTTTCTTAAAAACTAGACAGTTTTGGAGATTGCGACTTTCAGCATAATTTTCAGGTTCGAGGAGTCTTCTAGCAAAGGAAAATCCAAAAGCGGGACAATCTTCCTCGTGAGTCAGATATTTGAAGGAATTTGAATGAAAAATCCATCCCGACTTGAAAAAGCGAGGGAGATGGGACGCGTAGCGTGTGCGTACGCGGTTCTTGGCACGAGTTCGAATCACCCGCCAGCGACTATTTTGAAAGCTCGTTCATCGATCTTATCGAATTATATATTGGTTCTCCCCATTTGTGCATTAAAGGCATAGGGGCCGTAAAAAACGGTGTTTCAGTTCAAAGCGGTACTTTGTAGAGTTTTTCATTGCGAATCGAACGGTGAACCTGAAAACGTACAAAACTTCCTAGTTCTGGAGAAAAAATAATTCAAAGTCGGAGAAAGGAAAGCTTGAGTTCCCGCCAAAAAGGGCGCTTTGCAGTAAAGTTGCTCCATGGACAACACGCTTCGCCATTTTTCGGATTTTTTTTCTTCATTTTTTTTTTTCAATTTTCAATTTTTTCTGTTGTATTTGAAGTTCTTTTTGTCCTTGAAAGTTTCTGTTTATGCGAAATTTGCAAACTTTGTTAGCGAAATGCTTCATTGGTGAAAAATGATGATTTTACACAGGTTTCGATTGGGATTGCGATATTTTGTGTTTTCTTTATTATCGGTGTGTGTTTTCTGTTTTCTTAATCGGTTTTCTAGAGTAGAAACCCTTAATTTTAAGCAGATATCCGGTTATTTCTCACAAAATGCGAGTCTAATGAGACGTCCGCAACATCGCGTTCACGGCTACTGTAAACACTTGTCCGTACACCGATCCAAAGCATTTTTCAAAATTTAAAAATGCGTTTTTCTTCTAAAGTTGTCAAATTTGTAATTTTTTGAGTACACAGTTCGATTCGGAAAGAAAAAATATAGAAGATACCGCTTTTCTTTTTTACTGCCCCTATACCTTGCAGTGACCGAGCTTTTTAAATAGCCGGTGGCGCTTGAATTGAACTCGCGCTAAGAACCGCGTACGCACGCGCTGCGCGTCCCGTCTTTCAAGTCGGGATTAAGCTTTTTCAAATCGTTACCCGTTTCGCTTTGAGGTCCTTCTCGCATTTCTCCTTGAATCGCTCAATCTCCGAAACGATCGTTCGTTTGCGCTCACTTCTCGTCGTCCTGGTCCCGAGCCGTTTGTTCCTGATTTCCTCTTTGATTTCGGAAAGCCTCTGAGCCAATTCCGTCGCTTCTTCCTCCAAACGCAGCATTTCTTGCTGGTTCTTGGCGTGCGCTTGGTTCTGACGAAGGGTCGCGGTCTCCTCCTGTTTCGATTGCTTATTCAAAAGCTCCTCCACTTCGTTGTTCCTTTTCTCCACCAATTCCAGATCTTTGCCGCCATTTTTTCGTTCCATGGCTTTTTTCTGAGCCTGCACCTTTTCCGTCGTCTGAGCCTTTCTCGATTGATGCTCCTCCTCAGCTCTTCGGAGCTTGACCAGAAGCTCGTCGATTTCTTCCTGAATATCGGAAATTTCGAGATTTTCCAGTTCCGCTCCCAGTTTTGCCAGTGAGCCTTGGTCGTTTGCCTGGAACGAAAATGATCTTTTTTCGAAACTATCAAAAAGCTCACCATTTTATCGACTTTGAAGCTTCAGAAACTGAAAATAAAATTCAAAACCGAAAAAAAGAGCAACAGGTGAAGATAATGATGGAAATCCAGTAGAAAGAAGCGTCAAAGTTTTCAAAAATCTTTATTAAATTCAAAATTTTTTTTGAGATGTCGATAGCTGGAAGTCGAGAAACGTGGCTCTTCTACTGAAAAAAAAAAGAGTTTTGTCTGTCAAATTCTTATAGCTTTTGTTGAACTTGGCCATTTTTACTCGATAAAATCCTTGCGCCCGACTTGAAACGGCTTGCGACTGTATTCATCGGAATAAATTAAATAACGAGTGTTCCAGTAGCTGTAGGATTTCAAGCGCAACGTTTTGAGACATTCCAAATGCGGCTACTTTTTTTTTGTTGAAAAATGGTCATTTATTTTCGAAGCGCATCCTATGTTAATAAACGGTTTTTGACAGTGGTCGCACTTGGAATGTCTCAGAACTTTGAGGTTGAAATTTCTGCAGACATGAATCCGTTGTTTAATGCATTCCGATGATCTTATTCGTAAGTCGTTTCAAGTCGGACGCACTTTCTTTCCCAACAGCGTCATCACAAGGTTTTTATCGAGTTGAAGAAAGGGGGTTAACCAAAAATTTAGCACCTTTCCGAGTTTGAAAAATAGACAGAGCCAACTCTCAATATCTGATGTCCTTCATATGCTGGAAGCTCGAATCGGAGGCATTTGAACTTTTCCGGGAAGTTCTACTTGTCACCGGCGTGGTGCTGCCACACGTGTAATAAGCTTCGTCGTCGTCAAAGTGCAGTTTTTCGGCGTTGTTTCTCGAAATCGATCAGCTTGCGTCGTATTCCTTTCTCTTCCAGCTGTTTGCCGATCTAGGAAAAAACTTTCTTGGGAAGTCAGTAAGGCTCTTTGGTGGCATTGGAATGGCTACATTCGGCTTTTTCGGACCTAGTGACCACTTTAGAAGTTCCTCAAGAATTACTTGGATAGGGCTATAAATTGGCCACTGAAACCACCTTTATGGAAGCTCTTTTTGCGTCACTACAGTTGTATTCAGTGGTCTAGTAGTCTTAACCATCTAATAAGGCAACTAAAATCTCAAAGTCTTCAAGTGCCAACTAATAGTTTTCCCAAAATACTTTCGAATGTCCAAACACGCAAGTCGCTTCAGGTCGGGTGCACAAAGTTTCAATTGTTCTGTTTTTTGGAATTTCAGATTGTATGATCGTCAAATATGCGACGTGTCTATAGACTTTTTTTTTGAAACTCTTCATTCGAAACTGTCTGACATGGTTGCGCCCTCTTTTCTCTCACTAGAACGGTTTGATTGAGAGAAAAGAGGACGCAGAAAAGCTAGACAGTTTTTTTTTGCTGCAAAGAACGTCTACAATTAAAATTTTGAAAGATTTAGCAATTTTCAAAAAGTTAGTTTTTAATAGACTTGAAGATCAATTCAATGATTTTTAGCTTCTAAAAAAATGTTTTTCCTACCTTTAAGTTCTTTTTCGGCTTCCATCATCGAATCGTTCAATTCGATCAATGAGATCCGCATGGAGGACAAGGCTTTCTGAATTTATTAAGATTCAATATTAGTTTTAATTATCGATGTTAAAAAAACACGCAAAAAAATAATAAGAAAAAAAATACTCCTTGAAATGCGTTCACTTTTGAAAATTGAAATATTGTTTCTCGAAAAAAAGACTTTTTGTTTTTTTAGCAAAAAAAAAAAACTGTTTCGATGGGATCCTACCTGATAATTGTGGCAAATTGCTGGGAAGGCGGTTTTTTTCGACTGACAACTTTCGCGGAAGTTCGAAATCGTTTGCCGGAGGTTTTCGGAATAGTTGCGGGCGTGCGTTATGGAAGCCAGGAGACGGCGAGCTTTCGCCTCCTGCCAACAATTTTCGTATTTTCTTTAAAAACTCTCTCCATCACCTTTTCGGCGCTTCTAGAATTGAACGAAGCGTTGTAGATTGTGGTCTGGAATTTTTTGTTCAATTTTAAGTTTTCCTAAAGTGAAGCGTTGCGGTCGCGCAGCGGTCTAAGCCTGCAATTTCGGTCCTGAATTTTTTTTATTCGAATGGTTCTTCGAAATTTCTCTGAGCCTCCCCTTATATCCCTAGTCCGTCCTGCACGAATTTTCGAGTGTCTGCGTCTCTCTGTTCCCTCACCGGGGAAGTCAGAGCAACGCGAAAATAGCGCGTAAAAAAGAGAGGGTTGGCGAGAGAGAAGGAGGGCGCAGAGAAGCTCCACCCTTTCATGTCGCGAAAAACGGCTTTGAAAAAAATCATGAAGAATCTTAAACGCTTGATTTTTCAAGAACTACCACGGAGAAAAAGACTCTTCCACTCAAGACCTTCGCGAAAAAATGTTTTCATGCTCCTTTGACACTTTCCTCGGCTCTCTTCAAAATCGAGGATTATTGAGCTTATGAAGGTTTTTTTTAAACCGCTTCGCGACCGCTACGCGTCCCAAAAAGTCGTTTCTCGTTCTTACCTGCAAATCAACATCGTTGATCACATCGGCGAGGCTCCGAATTTGCATCTCCGTCGTCGAAATGTGATGGTTGAACACTTGTTGTGCTTTTCCGGCTTTCGTGGACCTCCCGAAACTCTTGGTTCTTTTTTTCGCCTTCTCCGGAAACTTGGAAATGGGAATGCTCCAATTTTCTCAAATCGGCCTCAAATTTTCCGCGAATCTCAGCAAATTTCTTTCTTTTTTGCGGCTTCATCTTCCTCCATCTCAGCGATCTCGTCAAATTTCAACTCCTCGAGCTCCTGCTCCTGCTTGTTGAGCTCGCTCTTCAGTTGGTACACCTTTCTGGCTCAGCCGCTTGATCTCCTCTTTCGCGTCCTTCTCATCCCTATCCGCCACGCCTTTTCTGGTTTCTCTGCGATTCCTCGAACGACTTTTTGATAGATTCGATCAGATTCTCGTGCGCCAGCTTCTCCTCCGGCTGCTGACGCTGATGCTCCTTGTAGAGCTGCTCCAGCTCCTCCGCACATTGCCTCTGATGGGCTTTCTCTTCCCTCTCGTGCTCCACTAATAGAGAATCGTAATCTCTTTCAAGTCTCGCCAGCTCTTGCCGCAGTTGCTGAAGACGCGACTGAAAAATGAGACATTTGGAATGGCTTAATTCCATCTTTCATTTTTACGACTTTACTCAACGTTTCCTTAATTCCTTATTTATTTGCTCGAACACTCCTTGATAGACTAGTAATCGATTCCGCATAGTGGCTATCCGGGAAAACTTTTCGTTTTTGAGATATAAATTTTCAAAATTTTCGTCGTTCAAGACCTTGTTCTGAAGGAATGTGGCCGCGCCGCCAGCCAACGAATGGCAGCTAGCAGCGTGGCGCAGTCAGTAGCGAAGTAGTCCGCGGAGCCTATGACGAAGGTTCGAATCCTTTTGCCGCTAACTTTTTTTGCCGATATTTTTTGAAAAGTTATGATGGAAAAAGGGATTTTTGAGAGCTGAAAACACGTTACAAACAAGTTCGATAGCCGATTTTCGATTTGAACCATCGTCATAGGCTCCGCCAGACTACTTCGTTGCTCATTGTTTCTGTCCTTTTATAGGATCGATTCTCAGGTTCCTGGTTTGAAATAGGTAGAAATAATCTTTGTGAAAAAAATTCCTGACCAATGATCGAAATTGATTACTGAATAGAGCCAGAAAGAAGTTTGCATTGGAGAAAGGAGCGAAACTCGGAAAATTTACAATCACTGACTTGTAGCTCACTAGTCACTTGACTCCTTTTCTCGATCACAAATCCATTTTTCTGCACAAGTACAACCTTCTTCGAAATTCCAAGTAGATCATTAAAAACCCTAGAAAAAGCTCTACAAAACTTCTCTTTCGATTTGGATACCCCTTTTTGATGTTGCTTTCAAAGAACCACTTACCATTCCACCGATTGCGACGGGCGAAGTCGAGCTGAAAATGGAAGAAGCTTAGTGTGAAAAGACGGTTCTGATAAGGATTTTTCACTATTGAAAGAGGCGATGCGATAATTGAGGAAGAGGTTGATAAATTTGAAAACTTTCTGCTGGTCTCTTTTTGGATGACAAATAAGGCAAGTGTTTGAGGTGAACATTGCAGATCTGGTCCAAACTTCTGTGGTAGATAGTCCTAAATATGGGTACTCGAAAATATAAAGAAATTTCAGCTAAGCGCCGTAGGGTACTGAGAAACAGCCTGTCGAAAATGTCAAAAAGCTGATTTGCATGGATTTTTCGAAAAACGTCTACTAACTAGAGATGGTTTCTATTCGCAGTGAATGAGACTGGGTTTACTAGATGTAGTTTTTCACTCTGATTCCAAATCTGATTTTAAAAACCGCCCTCGAGGCCTATGAAAAAAGTTAGAGACTCTTCAAAAGTCATAGTAAATATTTTTTTGAGCTTTTCATGTACATTTTCGATAGGGAGTTTCTCCGTATCCTATGGCGCTCAACAGATAATTCTTCCTGTTTTCGAATACTCATACCTAAGACTACCTCCCACAGAAGTTTGAACCTCACCTCACACACTTCCCAGTGCGTTGCGGTCGCTCTGCGGTAGAAAGGTGAGCCTTGCGCGGGAACCTCTTCGAGGTCGCATGCTCAGCAGGGTAACCCCGCCGTGCTAACACGGGGTCTCCGCGGGTGCCCCCGTATTAAACCCGTATAAGCCCAGCTGATAGAACTTTTGGCACTTTTTAGCCCAACTGAGACCCCGCTTTAGCCCAGCTGGGTTACCTATTTTTCTTACACCCGTTGTTCCCCCGTTTTAGCCCAACTGAGACTAAAATAACCTCAGAAACGCGGGTTTAATACGGGTACACCCGTTGAGACACCTGCTCAGCATGCGAGAGGTCGGGGGCAGCTTCAAATTGACCCAAGCCATTCTTCATGCGACCAACTTGTCTCAATTCGATACGAACCGTTTTTGAGACTTGGTTCAATAGGATAACTACAGGGGTGGGCATAAGTATTGCACAATGGAATTTCAATCTGTTTTTTTTGTTTTCCACTTTGCGAACCGTCGCTGGATCTTCCACCAAGATTTTAGGTCAAGCTGCAAGCCCCGAGCTGAGCAAGACTGGTGCGAGTCCAATCTGCTCGATTTCAACACGGTCAAGGAATGTACCGGCTACTCATTAGATTCTAATCGCTTGAAAATTATGCATATTTATATTTGAAGTTGAAGGCCTGGAAAAAAACTCTATTTCAGCCGGAACATGCTGATGTTCTCCATCATCAAGAACGGATGACAATATCGATCTGAGTCCAAGGGTCGAATACTTTTTCGAGAGAGTCAAGACGCTCAGTGAGGCCAATGAAAGTCGGATCGAAAGGTGAATTAACTTGGCTACTTTGACGATAAAACAATTCAGACAATCTTGCCTGAATCCGTTCCACTTGAGAGTAACGGAATTTTAAAGGCCGTGCAATATTTTTGCCCACCCCTGTAGAAACTCAACAGCTAATTTTGCATTTCCTCGAATATTCAAGTTTTTTAATCAAAAGGAAATAAGTATGTTCATCGTTGACATGGCCTAAGCCCAGCAAAAAAAACCAAAATACAGAGGTTCAAACCTTAAAAAAAGTATGCATAATTATGACGCACAGTTTATGAGTCATCCATTCTAAATTTTCATGCTTCAACTTGTGTAAGAACAGGTTCCAGAACTTTATAAATTGTATGGAATCAATGAAAAAAATAATGGCAGTGAATAAACTATATATAAAAGCTTCCAAGTTCATCAGTTTTAGAGAGAGAAATAGAAACTGGACGAGAAAAAAAAAAAACGAAAAACGGCGCTTGTTAGAATGAGCAAGCCGTTATCAAACAATGCCGTCCCCAAAAAGGCGTCAAAGTGTATTCAAGATTGTGAAAGTGTCAATGATTATATTTTTCTTTGAAATCGGACGTCGAAGGGACGCGTTTAGCGATGAGCTCAAGGTTTCGGACGATTGAGGAGATCTCAAGCCAGTTTGAAGTCTGGCTGGGAGTTTGGCTGGCCTGAAATCTGGAATTTAGTTTTTCCAAGAACATCTTTCGAAAAAGAGAGAGTTCCGCTTGAAACAGTGGTGAAAGGAATATAATTTTGGAATCCTTGGCTTTAAGTCTGATTTACTGCTAACATGGAAGGTCATTTTTGCGTAGGGTATGGAATTTTCCATAAATTTGCCCAAACGATCTTTGCATAGTCGCTATCTGCGCAAACTTTCCGTTTCGGAGATATGATTTTTTGAAGTTTTTGTCTTCAAAGACGTGACGCTGTTTGCAAGGAATGTGTACGCGCAACCAGCAATTGCATGACAGCTAGAAGCGTAGTGCAATGGCTAAAGCGGTAGCCTGCAAAGCCAATGATGAAGGTTCGAGTCTTTTTGCGGCTTCGATTTTTGCCATTATTTTTTTGACGAGTCGGTAAAGTCGAAAGTGCGGAAAACGGGTGCAAAAAGGTAGGGTCCGTAAAATGGCCCCCAAAAGGGATCCGTTTTGCGACCTTTATTGAGCCTTTTTTTTCTTGGTGGGCAAAAAAGCCTCAAAGAGGGTGAAAAAAGGGTGAAGAAACATGATTTCCGATTTTATTAATTTAGCACAATTTGGTTCATACACATTCACTGGTAAAGATCACTCTCAATTAAAAAAAATTTAATTTATGAAAAGGGTCCAAAAAAAGGGTGGATCAAGGCCGATGAAAGGTCGTAAAAAGGCAGTAAAAAGGAAACCGTTGCCACCCGTTTAGGGACAATTAAAGGAAACAGACGTATCCGTAACGGACGCTCAAGGGGCCCGTGAAGGGTCCTTCCGACTTTGCCTATGTATTTGGAAAGTAGATATTTGTATGCTCGGGCAATGTCGGAATGATGAATGATGGCCGCTAAAAGGAGAGGCTCAAAAAAGGCCGCAGAAAGGCAGCAAAGTGAGTCCATTTATGGAGCCTTCCATTTTTTCTGGAAACTAGACATGCTGGAAAAGGGAGAGGCAGCATAAATGGTGCACAAGAGCCGATGAACGGGCGCAAAGGGCAGCAAAAAAGGAACCTTTGTCACCCTGAAAGGAACATTTCCATGGAGCCATTTTCCATCCCAAACCTTCAATAAGGTTCTAGAACGATTAGTGGATAGTATATTCATTGCGCCCGACCGGAATCTACTTGCGCATAGATGCATATGCTCTAAAGTGATTCTAACCCACCAGTATTAAGTTAACAGAGTCTTCTTGAAGAAGTGGCCCAAGCCGAGAGATCAAGCTAGATAATTGGGACACAATTCCCTGGAATCGAAATTCAAATATTTTTCGATAAAATTTTGATTACCTGAAGATCTTTCAAGAAAGGTTGAGAATTCCTTTCGATGTACTTTCCCAATTTAGAAAAGGCTTGAGAATAGACAAGTTGGAGGGTTTTGCACTCGTCGGCACATTTTTTGAGAAGCATCTGGAATCGATCTTCACATTTTTTGTTATGGTAGGGTCCTGGAGAGGAGAGTTATGAGAAGATACTTGTAGAGGACTTTTTTGACTGGAAAGCGCTGGGAAATGTTACTTTTCTCTTGAACCTATACTATAGGTCCTACGTCGGTTCAGAAATGTAAACGTTTGAAAACGCTTAGGGGCGCCATTTCTCCACCTCTGGCCTATAGTGACCACTTTCAAATTTACACCTAGTGATACCTTTATCGTTTGGAGATAATCTTCAATTTTTGTAACTTTAAAAACTTGAAAAGATGCGATAATCGGAATGCATTAAACAATGAAAATAGGTACTTGAGAAGCGCCTTGTAACCCTATGAAAACTAAAAAGATCACTAAGCGTTTAAAAAAAACCTGAGTTGTTTGGTGGGAAACCGTGTTGTCCACACCTCCGAGCAAGAACGATCTGAAATTTAAAATAGACAATTTTTTGACTTGATATTGTTGATTGACAGAAAAAGTTGGATTCAGTTTACGAACATTTGTATACTAAAAGGTTTTCGAAGTTCTTCTGGTATAGTCCGTTTCTCGCGACTTGAGACTTCTCTGCGCCCTCCTTTTCTCTCGACAAGACTCTCATGTTTACGTGCTATTTCTACGCTTCTCTGACCTCCCCAGTGAGGGAACAGAGAGGCGCAGACACGCGAAAAATGTCAAAGTTTTTCGACTATTTTTCGGATTCTGATTTCCTCACCTCAAAAGCCGCCGACTCGAACCGACGGAGCAGCGGATGAACGGAGCTTCTGAGTTCGGCTAGGTCGACCTCCCATTTCGCTTCTATCTTCCGAATCCTCTCAAACTCGGCGATTCTTGCGGTCAGAAGGTCAGCCTCAGCCTTCCGTCGTTTTTCGTCTTCCTGTCGTTCCTGAGCACGACGTTCTTCGTTCTTCCAACCTTTCGGCCTTCCTCAAAGCTTCTTCCCTGGCCAGCTTCTCGTCGAATTCCGCCAGCTCGCAACGGCTTTTTTCGTCGATTTCTCGACCTTTTCGCTCCAAATCCTCCAGTTCTTTTTTGCGTTTAGCTCGATCCATGGCACGTTGCGCCGCGTCTTCTTCATTCTTTCTCTTGCGCTCTTCCGCCAATTTTCGATTTTCTGAGAGGAGATCAGACGCCTGCCGACGGTAGTTTGTAGGAGGTTCTTGACGTTGGATTTTGGTTGGTGGAGTAATGGAAGGATTGAGATCGAGAGAGTTTTGACTGCGTTTGGAATAGGTTCGGTCAAACTTTTTTTCGGAAGGATTAGCAGGTTTCACGGAGTTTGTTGAAGTGGGTCCAGAAGGCTCCATGGAGCTTGGGGAACCTCCAGAGGGTCTCGTCAAGTAGCTCGGATATGAATAACTCGAAGCCATATTAGATGATTCCACAGGACTTGGAGGATCTCCGAAGCGTTCTGACTCGTATTTCGGGGACAACTGATTTGAAGTCGGTTTAGAAGTTTCAGCATAAATCCGAGAATCTGGTTCCGATCTTGAACGGCTTGAAGTCGGCGACGGTGGTGGCAAAAGAAGCAGATCCTCTTTCAGCATCTCTAACACTTCTATGGTCATAAATCGATCCGTTGTATCCATAAGAATTCGCTCCCAAGCTCGGCCTCGGTTCTGGTGATGAAAGCCTTGAAGTTTGACGTCTCTCAGATTCCAAACCCCTGGATAAATGGCTTGGATTTTCTATCGAAGAGACCTCATTTTTTGAATAACCTCCAAGCCCGCCAGCGCTTCTAGACCTCAATTGAGAACTTTGGTCCGATTCACTTCGAAAATTGTATTCGGTTCCACCGGCTCCCCCGGAATATCCATAATTGGAATGTAGATATATCGGAGTTTCTTGTGCCTCGTTCTTCTTTCTCGCCTCATCCAAAGCCGAGAAATCGATTTTCGGGAGAGTTTTCCTTCTCACGGGCTCTGTGATATTTTCTGTTGGAGACTCTCTCCGTGCCGCGTTCGAGAGGCCGGATTCGACGTCTTCTGGTCTCTAAAAATCAAAAATTGATGCTATGACGGCACGTAGAATGGTTAAACGCGGCCCTTAGCTTTTTAACTTTGAAAATTCAGCCAAAATCTTAAAAAAAAAATGCAGACAATCTTTTGATCTGCATTCGACATAGTCAATTAACACACGTTCTCCCAGAAACGCGAAAAACCGTTGATACAAAATTTTCAGATTGAGTTTTCTGAGTTCATATTGTGGTCACAATAATCACGCAAAGTCCTTTACATAGGTTTTTGAGAGGCTCCGCCCCTTTTTTAGGGTTACGGTAGGGAAAATACCGAAAAAAAATGAAACTTTTTTCTCCGTCGTCCAAATCGAATGAAACTTTTTTTAAACGAAAGTGGCAAATTAAACAGTTTTTGTGTTAACACTTTATTAAATATTTTTTTAAATAAAAAAAGACGGAGCCTTCCAAAAATCTATGTAAAAATTTTTTTTAGGATTGTGACCACAATATGAGCTCAGAAAAACTCAATCTGAAATTTTTTTAAATAATACTTTTTTTCGCCGTTCATCGATGCTCTCGGAGAACGTGTGTAAAAATCGATTATTTCAAAATGCGCCGGACCAAAACGACTTGCGCGTCTGGCCATCAAAAAGAGGGGTTTCAAAAAATTAAAAAAAAACCTCTGGCGGCAAGAAATTCCAAATATATTCCATCGTCACTTCTGTTGATCTGAGACTGGAAAAAAACTAATTTTCCTAAATTTGATACAAAATTTTACTTGTAATTGACCGGCGGCGCTTCGAGCTGCCTTATCGGGGAGTCCGGCTGACTTCTTTGCGTATTTCCATCTGGCAGTCCGTTTCCGACACCTCTTTTACGCAGTAAGAAGCTGAACTGAAAGATATTGTTTTTGTTGAAAATATCTTATTTCACACTTACGAGGCAGCCCATTTTTTCCCGTTTCGAAACAACGGAAACAGCGAGAAATCGATGCGATTGATAAGGAATCGGTTATCAGAAAGTGTTTCCAAAGCTGTCAAGAATTGAGGAACAATGATGTGGAAGGCCGTGTTTGCTCAGTTTGGCCAGTTAGAACTGTTATTTTGTGATAAACTTTATGTTCATTCACAAGCAGATAATTGAATTCCGTGGGGGAAAAAGGGGAAAATGTTATTTAAACAAAAAGCACCTGGGAAACTTTCAGAAGCGGGGAAAATTTCACATTCCCAGGGAAGGAAACATTGGGATCATTTCAGCTCGCTTCAGCACTTAACAATGTTCCAACGCGCAAGTCGTTTTGGGTCGGGCGCGCATCAAAATCATTTTTTAAGCGCCGACGAGATAGCAAGAGCTTATTGGAAATATCTAATTAATCTTTTTTGAATAAGATTAAACAAAAAAAATGAAAATTTTAAACCCTCAATTTCTGAAAAAAATTTTGAGTTCAAAGCTAAAAATAACGTTGAAAAAACCGGATTTTTCATGCAAGTGAGAAAAAACTTGAAGTTCACAGTGGTTCCTAAAACCTTCATTTCTGTCATATTTATTTTCCTCTTACTTATTTTAGTGACCGCTTGAAAATTTTGAAAAAGTCTGGAGTAATCATTAAAGTAACTTTTTAAATTTATCAGATTTCCCATAAGGTTTTCAAAAGCTCCTAAACTCCCCTAGGAATATCTCAAGACGAGAACAGCGGAGACTAGAAGAGGTTCCAGAGAAACAGAGAGTCTCTACTTCTCTGGTGTCTCTTCAGGTCGCCTTCACTCTCACTTTGAGTCGTTATCAGCTATTTTCTATCTGTCTAACCATGAAGAAAGCATCAAAAATAAAAAAAACACGTGAATAAACTTTCCTGGGTGTCATTTTATAGACGAGATGCGAAAGATCCTCCTTCTTCTTTTCTTTTCAACGACTTCTATGGCTTCTTTTACCGTAAGATCCGAAAAAAAAATAGAAGATTGAAAATTCTTACAGCCCGTCGATTGGGACAAGTACAAGCCGGTTAAAATCATGAGGAATGAAAGTTTAACGGAAAAAAGCTCGAGAAAAGAAGAATGGAAGCCGATTCGCTTCAGAGTTTTCTACGCCAAAAGCGTTTTCGACGAGTGATTTTTTTTTTCAAAACTTCAAAAACTAGTCTTAACAGACTAGCGAAATAGTGTGTGAAATCGGGAGGGTTTTGACGTCTGATTTTTCAAAAATCATAAAAGGTTTGAAAAGACCGTTTGAATTGCAGAGATTCAGACGCTGGTACAGTTTTTTGTGACCCAGCGAAATAGCATTTGTTTATGAGAGATTTTGACGTCTATTCAGTCATTTTTTCAAGCTAATATCAAAGATCTTCATAGGATCAATAATGGAGAGGTTTAAGGACATAGATGCAAATTTCTAGCGAAACAGCGTGTGAAATTGAGAGACTCAGACTTTTTTAAAAATAATTTTTGCAGTGAGAGTTTGAGCTGATTTTTCCAAGAATGTAGAAATTTTGAAAAGACCGTGAGAATTGCAGAGATTTCAGACGTCGAAACAATTATTTTGTGACGCGTTCCATAGATCATTTATTTATAAGATCTTTTGAAGAAATTTTAAAAAAACCTGAATTGATCTTTCGCGCTCCATGGCAAACGAGAGGTTTTTAAAAATCTGACTTGGGCATCGGTAACGCGAAACGTTTTTGGGTGATTCTAGGGACCACTTAAGAGTTCTGACGCTACTAAAGTGGTCACTAGAAATTCACAGAAACTCTCCGTTTCGCCTTACCATGCCCGAGCAAAATTTGATTTTTTAGCATTTTTCAATTTCTTTTTATATTTCAAGTTATCTGTTTAACTATCCTTTTTGAAGGAAAATGGAAAGTCTTCAGGCTTCCTATCGATCAGACGAAATTGATACAAAAGATTATGAAAAGAGCATTGGAATTTTTCGACGTCAAGGTGCGGCCATCGAGTGACTTTGGTCTTTACAAAACGTAAGGCATTTTTTTTCCCAGGGAGTTTTCTCAGCTAACATGGAGACTTTTGAGTCGATTATGGATGCATTTTATCAGAGATGGAGAAATGGCGCCCCGAAGCGTTTTCAAACGTTTACATTTCTGAACCAACGTAGGCCGCCATGGCCATTTCTTGATAAGTCGCTGCCCAGGGCGCCCGGGGCCAAAACCGCGATGGCAAAAACGCCATTGGAAGAAAAAGAACGCGCAAAAATTGGAATCTTCTAAAATCTTGTAAAATCGTTGTTTTCGAAGCTTTAGAAAAAGGTTTTTTGAATTTCCAATTTGGTGGCGACGTAAATTTATTCTCTCACTAGTCAGCGGGTTTGTAACCATGAATCTGGAACATTTCGCCTAAAGAAAAGAACAAATATAACCGTACTTCACATAAAAAAATTCAACTGGACATCATATCCACTGAAAAATTTAAAAAATTATTGAAAAAATTGCGAAATCCACGATTTAATGAAAAATGAACAAAAATGACCATTTTCGCCCTACTTTTGCAACGTGGTATTATACGCCATCGACACATAATGACGCGGCTCATTTCTTCTCAGAGGCCTGATGGCTGAGGCGGGCATGTTGCGCCCTGGAGGGCCCCTCATTTCTTCCACCTCTGCATTTTTATTACGCTGGTCCCAAGCTCGAAAAATCCCGAGCGTACCTGTGGAATAGCTGAGAACTCCTTTGAAGATTTAAGCTTCGGAATATATACTTTCTTACCTATAAAGAATATATAAAATTTGATCTTTGAAAAAAATCTTGAAGTTCTTCAAAAACGATGGTTTTTGGTTTGGTTTTTATACATAAAAAAATGGTTTTTATACATAGGCAAAGTCGGAAAGGATGGAAAAAGGCTTCATAGAAATGTCCCTTTTTGCTGCTTTTTGGGCCCTTTCATGGGCTGCTGTGCACCATTTTTGCAGCCTCTCCCTTTTTCTACCATGTCTTGTTTCCAGAAAAAATGGGAGGCCGATAAAAAAAGACTCTTTTTGCTGCCTTTTTTGAGCCTTCTGCTCCCTTTCTGCGGCCTTTTTTGAGCCTTTCTGCGGCCTTTTTTTGAGCCTCTCTTTTAGCGGCTATTCCGGCTTTGCCCGTGTAGTACCTTAAGGTCAACAGAACTTCAAGTTTTTTTTCCCATTTCGATTTTATTTTCAAACTTTTGGCGTGGTTTTTGATCTCAGATTCGAAATCAGAGTGAAAATTTGCATCCATAATTTTCTTCATCAGCCCAATTTGAGATCTCCCACTTTTGAGATCAATAACGGAACAAAAATATTTTAGGAAGGACGGCTCGAAATTCAAAAAGATGTGCGCGGGTAATCCTGTGTCAGACGAATTCAATGTTTTCACGGTTTTTTTTTAAATTCAAACTTGGAAGAGGAAGAGAGAGTGATGTATTTGTAGAGACTTCAGAGAAAAAGAAAACTCTCACCTCTCTGGCGTCTCTTCATGTCCTATATCTTGCCATCACTTGCCTGATTTCTCTGCGCTCTCTTCTCTACATGCTGTTTTCTGGTTCCTATGACCTAGAGAGAGAGAGAGGAAAGAGGGCGCAGACAGGTCAGACTGTCCCAAGTCATGGCAAAAGGAATTTGAAAATGTAACCTTCATTAATTGCAGTGTTCGGAGGAAGATCGAAAAATTGGATGCACTGACAATGATTTTAAACCCCTGAAGGTGAAACTTGGGATTTTCATGAACAGATTCAACTCTGACTTTTTGGGACGTCGATTATGTCTGGATGATCGAAACGGGCCCAGGAGACGGGAGCACGATAGCCGAAGCCATTTTTTGCAGTCGTGATCCGGAAATCGAGTTTTTTGATCCGATAAATTATGAGAGAGCTTTTTTCCCAGGGACAGACCTGTTGCGGGGAAGGTGACCATCATGAAGGACAAACTGGAGAAAAAAATGAAAAAAATTTTGAGAGGGGTTCGTTTTTCGCCTTTTTAATTCAGTTCACCCTGACTTGGAAGGTCACTTGGTGTACTTTGGAGTGTACAAAAATGTGAAGTCCCTTACATAAGACGAAATTTTTGCGTAGGGTTCAGAACTTTCTATGAATTTGCTCGTACACTTTTGATGGAATGGGAATCCCAAATAGTCACTATCTGGGCAAACGTCTAGTTTCGGAGATATGATTTTTCACGGTATTCTCACAAAATTATAATATTCTAATCAGAATTCTCGTAAAAAATAATGGCAAAAAAATCTGGCGTCAAGAGGATTAGAACCTTCATCATGAGCTCCACAGGCTAAAGCGCTAGCCACTGCTCCACGACCCTAGCTGTCTTGCAATGGTTCGTGGCGCGGCCAAATTCCTCCCAAACGATGTCAAATGGTTAAGGATTGAATCTTTGAAAATTAATATCTCCATAATTAGAAGTTTGCGCAGATAGCAACTCTATGGGATCGATTCCCAGTCTATCACAGATTGATTGACCAAATTTATAGCTTTTTTGAATTTCAAAACCTCCGTTATATGAACAAAACTGAACAAAACGTATACATTCTCTGAAGAAAATAGTAATTTTTATAGGAGAAAAATTTCCTTGTGCAGGGCGAAGACGAGCTGTACACCACGATCCTCCACGAAATGGCTCATGCCTTATTTTTTTCATCCTGCCCTTTTTGGAGAGCTTATCCGAAAGCCAAGTGAGTTTCCTCGACGGAAATTTAATATTTAAAACGAAATACCTTTTTTTGAAAAAAAATTTCAACAGATGATTAATAGATTAAAGTTCAAAAGACCCTTATAGAGACCACTTGAGCTTCAGAGGTTAGACCCTAAATCCCTATAGGGACTACTAGAACTTTAGCTCTATAGGGAGCACTCTTAAGATCCACTATACCACTGTAGAGGCTGATTTCGTTTCTAACCCCTCTAGGGACCACTAAGGATTTTAACGCGAATCATTGGGCTTATATTTGGAACAAAATCCTCCAGACTGAGTTCCTATAAAGTTATCGATTTTTTACCCCACTTTTTTTTTCCAGGGAACTCTACAAAGATAACTTGAAAAGGTCCGAGGTCTACCCGGAAACGAAGGGATCTGGAGTCGATGAGACGTTTCACGGGATCGCCTTTCCGAAATCGTTGAAAGAAGCCAGGAAGTACTTTGACTGCCCCGATATGAAGTATATCGAGCTGGAGAACTCGAAATACCCGGGATCCGAGTTGGGACATTATGAAGCCGACTTTTTGCCGGTAAGTCATTAGGCTCCCATTTTGTGAGAAATAACCGTATATCTGCTTCAAATTAAGGGCTTCTACTTTGAAAAATCGATTAAAAAAACAAAAAAACACACCGATAATAAAGGAAACACAAAATATTGCTATCCCAATCGAAACCTGTGTTAAATCATCATTTTTCACCAAAGAAGTTTTGCAATCAAAGTTTGCAAATTATACTTAGCGACCGCAAAGCCCCGCCCCTTTTCGCGAGGGAAAAAAGGCCATTTTTTTGGTATTCCGTTTTTGATTGTTTCGTACAACCGATAGAAACAATGAAAAATGATGAAAATTTCAGCATACATGTAGAAAAGGTTTCTCTTTCCGTTGAAAAGGTTTTTAGGTACTTTCCATGTGTTTCAACGGAGTGTCGTACGGAATAGTAATGCGAGTTCGAAAAAAATAAACTTAGTTTCGCGTTTTGATATTAATGTAGGTCGCGGACAAAGTTGATTTTTTTGAAAACTACTTATAAACAGTAAAATGAAATTTTTTTAAGCCATAAAAAGTTCTATGATCGCCGAAAAATTGAGAGGCGCGCAAAGTCAAAAATTGTTTTTCTCAATTGCAATGCAGCATTGGAAGATGTTTATGCTTTTTTTCATATTGAGAAAAAAACATTGCTCAAATAATACTTGTTGACAACTACAAGCAAATGTACTGTTTTTGAGTGGTAAAAAAGGTGGAGAATTTTTTGGGAGTAATTTTGAAACATTTCCCGGTCGAAGACACGCGTTTTTTCTTACTCATTTATAAGAGTTTTTAATTTTCAAACAAATAAAGCAATAAAATCGAAAATTCAAGATCGCCGAAAAATTTTTCTCAACAAAAAAGGTGAATAAAAGTAGGCGAAATTACATTTTTATGGGATTCAAAGAGCACTGTAGGCTGTATTTGTGCAGTCACTGAGACGAAAATGATGGTAAAGTGGAATTACAGCTCGTAAAACCTTCTCTTTTGGCTCCTGAAACCGTGCCGCCCTTGCAAATAAGAGTGCGCGCAGATTGCATGAGAATTCGCAAAACCAAAATTTCAGTGCAAAAAGTTTTGCTTTTCAATTACTTTTAAATATTGTTTTCTCCTCTTATTCTTAATATTTTTCGTTTTTCTTTTCTGTTTTCGCATACTACATGTTAAAATCATTGTTTTTTTATAACAAAAAAACGAGGAGCTAGCTTAAGTTCGAAAAATAGGTCTGTGGTCCCTAATTATACTTGAATAGAAAGTTTTTGGGACAAAAAGAACTTTTTTGGGGGCAACAGAAAAAATTAAAAAATGAAAGAAACGAAGAAAAAAGCGAAAATCCGAAAAATGGCGAAGCCTGTTGTCCATAGAGCAACTTTACTGCAAAGCGCCTTTTTGGCGGGAATTCAAACTTTCCTCTCTTCGACTTTGAATTAATTTTTCTCCAAAACTAGGAAGTTCGGTACGTTTTCAAGTTCACCGTTCGATTTGCAATTAAAAACTTCACAAAGTACTGCTTTGAACAATACCGTTTCCCTGTGACTTTAAAGGCGCATGACCAGAGACAGGCTCCGCGTATCGAAGTGAAGGCTTCTGTAACTCGTGGACATATACATTATCTTACCGTTTCGAAACACGAAATTTTTTCGATTTTTTTTCAGTACGAAACGATGCGTGGTGATGACATCGGATTCCCTTTATTCTTCTCGAGAATCACATTAGCTTTGATGGAGGACTCGGGATGGTATAAAGTCAATTACTCGTGAGTTTAGGGACTTTCAGAAAATTTGACCTGAATCTAGAAGAAAAACTGTAGTGCTATTGAAATCAGAGTTTTGAGACGTCTCAAATGATACCAAAAACAGCTCGATTGGTTCAATTTGGAGATTGTTAGATGAAAATTTTGAGATATATCGTCCTGACACGATTTTAGAAAAATAGTGTCTGATTTATGGAGAGCGCAGAGAGACCCTCTTTTCATGATTTGATCAAAGTTCGTCAGAATTTTTGGAGAATTAGTTTGAATCAACGTGTATTTTTTTGGTTGTTGATCATTTAAAAATGATAATCAGCTTTTTGTCCTACGAAACCCTGTTTCAAATTTTTCATTGAAGTCAAATCCTCCCTTCAAAATGGAGCTCAAACGGTTCAGTTTTAGCTGGAACAGTCTCGTGATTTTTTAAGGCTCTTGAAAATTTCGACAAGTCCCTTTTTTTCCGACATTCCGACAGGTTGATTCACCCGAAATAATTGAAATCGACGCAAAATTTGATTTTTCGAAGGTTCAAAAGCACCTATTTGTCATCATTTTACTCAATTTTGAACCGCGCAGAAAAAAAAACCCTGAACTAGGAACTCAAAAAATCTAGGGGAAACTTTAGAGGCCCTTGGAGGGTTCTCTCTAGGGACCACTTTAACAAGCCCTATAGGGGCCACTAAACCTTCAAAAAATGGTCCCCATACGGGACATGCTGGTCGACGACTGTTATAAACTCTATAAGAAAAGCAAAATGACTAAGCTTTTTTTGAAAGAAGATCACTGTAGAGACCACTTGAGCTTTCGGGTCTAAGGCCCGAAAGTTTTTTTCGCCCCCTCCCCCTCGCTGTGTGTTCCCCTAGCCCCTATAGTGACCATTCTCGAATTCCTAAGAAGTAGAAGAAAAAGCTTTTCAGAAAAGCCGAACCGATGCCGGCTCCTTTGTCGAAAGACGCATGTAAGGCCGTAAAATCGTGCAAACTCGGCGATTACAACGGAAAACCGTATGAGTAGAACTGCATCTCTTTTGATTTTCAACACTTTCCTCTAGGAGTTTCATCAAAAAGTGCGAGACGGATCGAAAAGCCTACTACAGTAGACCTCACCAATCCTCCATGGCTGAGTGCCCCATTCCAAAGGTTTTTTTTTTGAGTTTTCTCAGTTTCTGAGCTGGAGATGATCATTGCAATAGCTTTGCAACAGCATAAATTTGCAAGTTTGAAGCATTTTTCTGCTATCTGAAGCTTGCAAATAACTCATTTTTTGGAATTAATAGCCCCTTCTTCCCCAGTTTTAAGAGCTTTTTTTTTGCTTTTTATGAGAGATTTTTGTAAGGTTATGGATAGCCGTCAAGGCATATTTGACCAATTTTTCAAGAGATTAGAAAACTTAGTTGGCTGTTTCAGGGGCTTTCAGGGTTTCAGTGGTTTTTAATATAATTTTCCTCGGAAGACACTTTTTTTCTGCTATCTGAAGCTTGAGAAAAAAACTCATTTTTTTCGGAATTTTTTTATATTTGAACTGAATAGAACCTTGTGAATTTTTTTCCCAGTTTTAAGAGCTATTTTTCTGTTTTTTATTGGAGATTTTTTTGTACAAAATGGTCATGGCAGATTTGACCATTTTTCCAAAAGATTAAAAAAATTTTAGTTTGCTGTTTCAGGGGCTTTCAGGGTTTCAGTGGTTTTTAATATAGTTTTTCCTCGGAAGACACTTTTTTTCTGCTATCTGAAGCTTGAGAAAAAAACTCATTTTTCGGAATTTTTTTATATTTGAACTGAATAGAACCTTGTGAATTTTTTCCCAGTTTTAAGAGCTTTTTTTTGCTTTTTATGAGAGATTTTTGTAAGGTTATGGATAGCCGTCAAGGCATATTTGACCAATTTTCCAAGAGATTAGAAATCTTAGTTTGCTGTTTCAGGGGCTTTCAGGGTTTCAGTGGTTTTTTTAATATAATTTTCCTCGGAAGACACTTTTTCTGCTATCTGAAGCTTGAGAAAAACTCATTTTTCGGAATTTTTATATTTGAACTGAATAGAACCTTGTGAATTTTTTCCCAGTTTTAAGAGCTATTTTCTGTTTTTTTATTGGAGATTTTTTTGTACAAAATGGTCATGGCAGATTTGACCATTTTTCCAAAAGATTAAAAATTTTAGTTTGCTGTTTCAGGGGCTTTCAGGGTTTCAGTGGTTTTTTTAATATAGTTTTCCTCGGAAGACACTTTTTCTGCTATCTGAAGCTTGAGAAAAACTCATTTTTCGGAATTTTTATATTTGAACTGAATAGAACCTTGTGAATTTTTTCCCAGTTTTAAGAGCTATTTTCTGTTTTTTTTATTGGAGATTTTTGTACAAAATGGTCATGGCAGATTTGACCATTTTTCCAAAAGATTAAAAATTTTAGTTTGCTGTTTCAGGGGCTTTCAGGGTTTCAATGATTTTTTTTTCCTATAGATTTCCTCAGAAGACACTTTTTCTACAATCTGAAGCTTTTAAAGTTCGTCCATATTAATTTTAAACAAAACTTTGATTTTTAAGGATAAAACTTCAAAGTTCGTTTCAAGCATTCATCCGTCAACTTTTTTTAAAACGCTCTGACTTCCCTGCACTCTCTCATCTCTATGTGAATGTGAAAACAGAGAGAAAAGAGCGCAGGCGTGTCAGACAGTTCGAAACAATGACAATTTCCCCCTTTTCAGCGCTTCGTTTGCAGTCACTCATCAGGCAGCGAGGTGAGAATCTTTTTTTTTAGTTTTAAAATATTTGTTTCAGGATTGGAAATGTCTGGAGCACGAGAGAATGAAATTTCTTCCACGTAAACCGAACGTAAGAATTTTTATCGACTTGAAACGAATTTCGTACGTGGGCGCCAATTTGAATTCCCACAAAATTTTTTGATTTGTCGCCCAAAACGCTTCGCGACCGCTTCGCATGCGAACTTGAAAATGCCGCACTCGAGCCGAGAACACTGAATTTTCATAGCCCATTCCGCGCCAGCTCCTGCAGAAATGACCGTATTCCAAATTGTATCAAATCTGACCGCAATTCGCTTCGAGTTTCTTATAGTCTGTCCAGATTTTGAATTTAAAGTAGAATGACGTCATTCGAAAACGCTCTCTGATTGGTTTATCGTGCCATTAGGGGCGGAGCTTCAGCTAGGACTTGACATTTGAAATCTGAACAGACTATAGAGCAAAACTTCGAAAAGATGTCACTACGGTAGTTTTTTTCTTACTGTGCTTTCATAAAGTGACCGTTCTCCCGCCGTACACACCAGTAGAATATAGGTGCCACTTTTGTCCTCCCGAAAATCTGGTTTAGGGCCCCCTATAGGGGTTAATAAAAAGGGACCTCTAGAGGGGGTAGCATTTTTACTGAAGTTAGCTTCCTCATGTTCGTCCCTTACTCTTTCAAAAAACGCCCCTTGAACAATTTTTGAAAGCCCCTATGAGGGCCCCGAATCGTTTAGAATGTTCAAGGGAAGCTCCGGGGACCCTAAAACTCTTCCCCTATCGGGGCCCTTTCGAGAAATCCGAATTGGCGCCAAGAGTCACCTTTTCTTGAATTTCAAGCCGTCGCTCAAGCTCCGCCCCTAATGGCGCAATCAACCAATCAGAGAGCGAGACCCCCAAAGAGTATTTTCGAATGACGTCATTGGACTTGACATTTAAAACCGGAACGGGCTATCGATCAAATTTCCGTAACCGGAAAAAAACCTGTTTAGGCAACGAGCAATAGCAGATACGCTCAAGCGAGAAAACTTTACGGAGGATTGTGTTATGAGGTTTTTTCGTCGAAAATCCTCAAGATTTTTCTGTTCGACAGTTTATTTGCAACGATGGAAGTTTTCAATTCGTTTCCGGACAAAATTATTACGATTGTAAGAAGGAGGGAGATAAGGTGACGTTCAAGCAGGTTCCATTTTTCGGTTTTCTGAAAGCTTTGACCCTATTTTTCGCCTCAGAAGTACGGGAAAAATAACCATTTCCGACAGTTTTACGAGGAGACGACTGAGGAGAAACTTGACAATAAGACGGTGGCCTTTTAGAGATGTTTCTTCGGGTTATTTTGGGGTTTTTGAGGAATTGAACAAGTACTCTATCGATCGGACAGTGATTTGCCCAAAGTACTGCGAAGTTTGTGCTGAAAAAGATCCGAAAAACTGTAAGAAGAAAGATGAAGACGAAGATGAAGAGGATTGTGAAGACGTCTCCAGTCAGCCTTCTTTTTTCGCTGTCTTATTCGTCTCTCTTCTCTTTTTTATTCATCGTCAATGAACCTTTTCATTATCATTAATCATTTCTGGTACCATTGTTTTTTAACACTTCCAAGGCGAGAGAAAAGAGACACAGGAAAGTCAGACATTTTCATATCGAGAAAGTATGAAGTCGAAAGCCTCTATTTCGGTATTTTTCATCCGGCTTTTCTCAAAAAACAATTTGATGTGGCGATGATTTTTTTCGGTTTTGAAAGACCTTTTCTCGTAAAATAAAAGGGTCTGCAACTTCCTCAATAGTTTCTTAGAAGTTCTACTAGTTGTAATTACATTTTTTATTGTTTTGAAACAATTTCCAATCGATTTAAAGGCTTGAGAACATCAATAAGCACTTTGATGTGAAATTGAGTTAGTTAAAGGCACAGGGGCAGTAAAAACGGGGTTTTTGCGTGGAAGCAGTATCTTGTATAGTTTTTCTTTGCGAATCGAACTATGTACTCAAAAAAATTGCAGATTTGACTAATTTTGAAGAAAGAAACTTTCCCGCCTTTAATTTTGAAAAATCTTTGGATCGGTGCTCAGACAACTGATTACAGTAGCCGTGAACGCGATGTTGCGGACGTCTAATTAGACTCGCATTTTGTGAGAAATAACCGGATTTCTGCTTAAAATTAAGGGTTTCTACTCTAGAAAACCGATTAAGAAAACAGAAAACACACACCGATAATAAAGAAAACACAAAATATCGCAATCCCAATCGAAACCTGTGTAAAATCATCATTTTCCACCAGAGAGCAATTTTGAAATCAAAGTTTGCAAATTTCTTATAAATAGAAACTTTCAAGGACGAAAAGAACTTTAGTGACAACAGAGAAAATGAAAGAAACAGAGAAAAAAGTTGAAAAGCGAAAAATGGCGAAGCGTGTTGTCCATAGAGCAACTTTACTGCAAAGCGCTCTTTTTCGCGGGAACTCAAACTTTCCTTTCTCCGACTTTGAATTATTTTTTCTCCAAAACTAGGAAGTTTGGTACGTTTCCAAGTTCACCGTTCGATTCGCAATGAAAAACTCTACCAAGTACTGCATTGAACGGAAACACCGTTTTTTACTGCTTTCATGCCTTTAAGAGATAATTCAAGGAAATATATAAAAGCGCCCAAACAAGTTATAAAAAAATGTAAATCAAGCCGTGACGTCGGTCGAAGTCATTCCACCGACGAGATGAGGACCATCTTCCTTCTCCTTTTCTTTGTCGCGACTTCGACGGCCTCCGATGTTGTAAGTTATGATTCCGATGTGCTCGCAGTACGGATAGTCTTTGCAGATCTTCAAATGGGAAAACTACAAACCGGTCAAAATGACAAGGAAACTGCCAGATAAAAGCTCGGAAGAACGCAAGTGGGAGCCGATTCGCTACAGAGTGTTCTACGATGATTCTGTTTTCGACGAGTGAGCTTTTCCTTCAGATGAAAAATGCAACAGGAAAAATGCCTTGAGGAACATCTTTCGGAAAGCGGCGAGCTTTCCTTTTCCGAAGAGTACTGTATGTGAAAGTCCGCATTTGGCGAGTGCGCCTCGCGTGTTTGCACATTCTTATGAAAAGAGGTCACGATTATAGAATCCTGTTGAATTATATCCACCATAATTTTTGACGTTTCATTAACCGAAAACTAAAATTCTTAGATTAAAAATAGAAGGAACGCGGAAACGAGACCACGCCAAATGCGGACTTTCTCATACTTAGAATCGATGAAGGGGTCTCTTTAGGGTTAGAGGAAAACAGCCCTTATTGGTGGCCCTTTTTGGGAGCTTCTTTTTCAGATTTGGAATTTGAAAAGAGAATTTCGATCAATTGATCCCTTGGAGATATTTTTTCATTCAAACAACGCTAATTTATCGAGTTTTTCGCATGGAAATGCTTCTTCGTATATAGTTTATAACAAAAACTGACTAGCAGGTCCCTGGAGAGGCCACTGATCAAAAACCCGTAGGGGCTTCTTTTGCAAATTCACTTACTTTCGAACCACAGAGCTCTGTTGGGAGCGGATTTCGCTGCTTTACATTCAAAGTCAGAACAAAATATATGCGCAATTCATTTGGTGGCCCCTAGAGTGGAATCCCTCCAGGGACCGCTCTGGAGCTCCTAATTACAGTACTCTTAGTAGTACGAAAAAGGAAAAATTATTGGAAACTGCTGCAACTGGCTGTCCCGAACAAATTTTACTTGCAGCATTCCGGTTTCTCAGACGAAACTTCTGCAGAAAGTTATAAAAAGGGCGTTGAAATTTTTCGACGTCAAAGTACAGCGTGAAGAAGAGTTTTCCATTTACAAATCGTAGGAAAAAAATTTCGATTGAATATAGAACAATAACCGGTTTCAGACTCAATGTAAACACTAGTAAGTACGAAAACATGTGTGAAGACACGGTTTTGAGCAACAAGTATGATTTTTACGAGGTGAGCCTTTTTCCAAATTTTTTTGTTGACTATTGTTTTGAGTGTGCCGAGGGGACTGAAGAGAAAGGTTGCGATGACGAGGGTCACAAAACCTTGAAGGTGATGTTCAAAACGATATGATCCAGTAGAGTAAGAGAAAAGAAATGAAGTTTTTTTCAAATTTTTCAATCGCAAAACTGTATCGAGATTTAATACAGTACCGCTCAAAAAGTATATTAAGTTTTGGTTTTTGAGGATATCTCAGCGAGTGCTTATCCGATTTATATATAACTTTCAGGGATAATGTGCAATATACTTTGAAACATATACGGCATACAAAGACATGTCCGCAATCACTTTGACGCGTTTTAGGCATTTTTTTATTGAATTCAATTTTTTGTTTTTTTATGCTTTTATTTTTTTATTTGTTTTTTTATTAAATTTTTTTCAAAAGTGATAATGTTGCCATATTTTTTTCATGTTTTTCAGACATGGGAAGAACCTCTGGAAAAAAGGATTTGACAAATAACGACAAAAGAGCCATCGTTGTGGGTCATCAAAATGGACTGACCATGATGACGTTGGCAGGAATGTTCGGCGTGACAGAGGCGTGCATTTCTCAGTTCCTAAAGCGTCAGAAAGCTCAAGATGGCTCTACTAAGAGCCAACGCACTGGAAGACCACGTGTCACGGATCTTAATGACGATAGAAACATTTTGAAGACGCCTAGAACCAATCCAAGACTCACCGCCCTTGCCATCAGACGGGAAGTTTTCTTGAATTCGCCATCTCCGCCATCCGTCTCGACCGTGAAACGACGTCTGAATGCTGCTGGAATCATGGGAAGACGTGCAGAGAAAAAAACGGTGATTTCTGAAAAGAATCGAGCCGCCAGGGTGAAGTGGGTCTCAACTGGACCCGTCAAGACTGGAACAAGATTCTGTGGTCCGACGAAACGGTCCTCCACCATGTTTCACAGTGGGTAATTGGTATTTCGGATGATATCTGGACCCAATTGGTCTACGAACCCACTGAATTCCGTCACTTCCGAAGAGGAGGAACTTGCTCTCGTCGGACCACAGAATCTTGTTCCAGTCTCGACGGGTCCAGTTCAGATGCTCCTTCGCCCACTTCACCCTGGCGGCTCGATTCTTTTCAGAAATCAGCGGTTTCTTCACTGGACGTCTTCCCATGATTCCAGCAGCATTCAGACGTCGTTTCACGGTCGAGACGGATGGCGGAGATGGCGAATTCAAGAAAACTTCCCGTCTGATGGCAAGGGCGGTGAGTCTTGGATTGGTTCTAGGCGTCTTCAAAATGTTTCTATCGTCATTAAGATGAGTGACACGTGGTCTTCCAGTGCGTTGGCTCTTAGTAGAGCCATCTTGAGCTTTCCAACGCTTTAGGAACTGAGAAATGCACGCCTCTGTCACGCCGAACATTCCTGCCAACGTCATCATGGTCAGTCCATTTTGACGACCCACAACAATGGCTCTTTTGTCGTTATCAGTCAAATCTTTTTTTTCAGAGGTTTTTACCATGTCTGAAAACATGAAAAAAATCATATGGCAACATTATTACTCTTAAAAAATTTAATAAAAACAAAAAAAAGAAAAGCATAAAAAACAAAAAAAATTGAATTCAATAAAAAATGCCTAAAACGCGTCACAGTGATTGCGGACATGTCTTTGTATGCCGTATATGTTTCAAAAGTATATTGCACATTATCCCTGAAAGTTATATACAAATCGGATAAGTACTCGTTGAGATATCCTCAAAAAACCAAAACTTAATATACTTTTGAGCGGTACTGTATATTTTAATCCCCGTCTTCCTATTTTTCTATCGTAAGAGTCGAGACATGGGAAGGCGATGATATGGTCAATCTATCCCGAATATAGTCTGTTCAGATTTTGAACGTCAAGTGGTCCTTAAAGCTCCGCCTCCTAATAGCGCGATAAACCAATCAGAAAGCGAGCCATCCACAGAGTGTTTTTGAATGACGTCATTGCACTCGACATTAAAAGTCTGAACAGACTATAGGATCACAAAAAAAAAATGCGAAAAAGAGCAAGCGCGCCCCATCAAAAAACAACGCCACGTGCGCGTGTGCGTCGCGTGGCGTTGTTTTTTTCTTCACATCAGTTGGCTTGCGTGGTGTCGCCGTGCTAGTTTCTTTCATCTTTAAACTGGAAAACGATATAAAACTCTCTTTTCCAGAATATCGACTATGTTTGGTTCGTGTTAATAGAAGATAGACCAAGTTTTGCCGCCACAGCCGGACCCTGCAATTACTTTCCTGGAACAAAGTTTTTTTTTTCTTTGTAAACCCCTGGTGTGTTCATCGGGAAAAAAAAAACTAAACTTGTTCCGAATCGCAAGGAAGTTGCTCCGATACAAAATTTATTACTGTTTCGGAGCAACTTTGGGGCGCCGATGAACACTCTTTTGCTTATTGAAACGTGTTCCGTTTTTGAAAACATCACGTTCAAAAAAGTAAATATTTCGAAAAAGCTTGCGAGAAAGCCTAGTGCCACGGCGTTCCCAAACGGGGTGGGGAAACGTCAAAAAAATTTTAGCGCGAAATTTGAAATCTCAAGTACGCAGCCAAATTCATTCTTCATGCCGCTGAATACTCAGTTTAATTTGCAACGATAGGTAGCTGTGACGTCACAGTCCTTTTATCCGAAGCGCGCACTTACTTTTTTGTTTGTAAATTCAGAAACTTTGACGCCTCGCTCACCTTCCCTCACCCCATTAGGAATGCCATGAGTGCGCTCTCTATGTGAGACGCGAGTTTTTAGAATGCCTCGTTTTTTTGAATCGAACTAGAGTATATTATTTTTTTATCCTTCTCAATAGGAAACTATTAGTTTTTTTATTCCACTTGTTGAAAAAAAATTTTGGAATTTCTGAAAATAAAAAAATGTAGGAAATTGATGTTTTTAATTGCTTGTTGGCTCGACCATAATTCGTTTGTTTTTCAGTATGAAACCGAATGTTGGCTTGTTAAATGTTGGGAGAGCTACATTATCGGACGCAGAAAGTAGAATAACGAGAGAGGTTTGTATATCTTTTTTTTCAATACTTGAACCAGATTTTCTAACCTCGAAAAAACCAGTGTCCCTACAAAGGTCACTCGGAATATGAACACCAGTAGCTACCGGGTAGCCATTCTGCCTTGATGGAAGAAAATCTTAAAGATTTGGAAATGCGGAACGGCTTTGGAAGGTGACTAGGGATCTTCTCGGGCGGATTTCGTCTAGCCATTTGGCAAGAAAATAGAGCATGGTGTCAATTGCATGAATAAAACAGGGATAATGCCTTGAGCCATTCCAAGTGTGGCCAAAGGTTTACATCGCTGCTGTCCAAATGATAATGACCAGCATTGTTGGGCTCACGATAATCGCTTCGATGATCTGAAACATTGGAAATATTGAAAATTCAAGAATACTAACAATTTCACTTGATACGCGTTTCCGAGCCCGAATAGAAAAAAATGGTAGACGATTTGCGCGCGAAATTTTGAATATTTTGTTGCTCGAAAGCTTCCGGTTGTTTTTATTTTTATTCCAGTTATGTCTTCCTTTTTTTTGTCTCTAATTTAAGTTTAATCTTCTTCCTTGCGGAAGAAGAACTTTAAGGACTTTCTTGTTTTTTTAAATTTCAAAATTAACGACCCGGCTTTGAAGGAATTTCCCTTTTAAAGCTGAAAACCCTTTCAATTTCAGTACTTTAACGTGCGATTTCTATCTCTCAGGCGATTCCTGGGAAAGTATTCGGAAGGTACTTGGAAGGTTTTGGGGGGATAGCCTGCCGGCAGGCTTCCGGCAACCTTTTCGAAGTTTTTGATTTTTACCCATCCAATGACTTTCCAACTACCTTCTGAAAACCTTACGAAGGCCTTCTCCTCTCGAGACCATCTAGCTTCCATTCTCCTTCCAACCTCATTCCAGCTTTCTTCCGATTATCTTTCTAATATAGTCTGTGTGCCGAGACTTGGAATTTCACCGAACGACATTCCGCTGTTCCACTGCGTCGCAAAGCGTCACTGCGAGCCTCGGTTCACTAAATCAATGATCCTAAATAAACAACTAACGATTAGTTACCTGGTAGCAGTCGCATATGTCAGGTGGGATGACGATGATCCCGACATCTACCCAGATCTATGCAGTTACCATAGAGACACTGGTAGCTGTCCTCATTCTTTCGGAGGAAATTTTCTGGAGGGTTCGAATTTCGAAAATATTTTGCAGGGCGAAGAGAATCTGTACAACATTTTGCGACACGAAATGTCTCATGCGCTGTTCTTCAATGAAATTTTCTTTATGAAAGCATTTCCGGACTCGGCGTAAGTTCGAATTTTCCCAGTGCTCCAAAAATAAAAAGCAACACATAGAAAAAAAAGAAGGTGAGGGGACCTGGGCTGTGTAGACCAGCTATGGCTACAAAGAAGAAAAAAACAAATATAGTCAGAGAGCGCAAAGCCCCGATCCTTTTTGCGATAGTTAAAGATCTGTTCTCATTTATTTTTTGAGGTTCGCATTTAAAAAGAAATAGAAGAAGTTTCAGAAACCTTTTCAAGAAAACGACGAGGTCCATCGTTTATTCAGAAACATTGGGGTCTGGGATGAACGAAACCTTTTACGGAATCGCTTTTCCCAAAGCGTTGGAAGAGGCGAGAAAATATCTCGAATGTCCTGACCTCCAATATATCGAGTTAGAAAACTCAGGTGATGAGGCTACAGCAGGAAGTCATTATGACGTCGATTTTCTGCCGGTAATCCCAAGAGTTTTATCAAAGAGTTTTCGGAACTTGACAGTACGAAACGATGCGCAGTGATATCGCTCCGTTTCGCATAGCCTATTCGAGAATCTCACTGGCTCTGATGGAAGACTCGGGCTGGTACAAAGTCGACTACTCGTATGTTTGAAAATCGATTTGGAAGAAAAAAAAAATGTTTAAACGAGAATTTGAATTGGCGATAAATGGAAGGCCTACCAATCTTGTGACGCCGGTATTTGTTAACTAGGCTTGTGCGAGGGCAGCCCCGTCAGTCTGTCCCTCCGCCCGATCATTTCCCAAGCCCGGCCTTAGGGAAACCTCAAGCAGAAATGGCCGGCCGAATTTTCATCAAGTCAAACTTTTCGCTTTTTTAACAACGAAAGTGGTGTTTTGCTTATTTTTTTCTCATAGAGTCATTAGAAACTATGATTCAACAAGAAAAAATAATTTTTCGGTGAAGTTTTTTCAAAATGAAATTTAAGATTTTTTTTTCGAAGCCCGGCCTGGTCCGAAGGCTTTTTTTTAAGATGAAAGCCTAAAACTCGGCCTGACGCACGAGTCTGTTGTCAACCTGGCCTCACTACTGTCTTCGGCGGAGCGCTTTTCCCCAAGCTTCCTTTAGAACTTTGTTTTTAATGCAAAAAAAATTCTTGAAAGATCTTCGTTAGAATCTAATAATTACATGCTGATTATTTTATTTGAAAAATTTTATGCAAACTATTTCTGTGCTTATACAATTATAAACCGTGGTAAGGCCAGGTTGACAGATACCCGCGTCTTCAATCTCATTGGAAAAAGCGGCCAAAGTCGGCTGTTGATTTAAATTTTCACTTCAAATCAATCAAATAACAACAAAAAATCGTTCAGTAAAGCAGAGCCGATGCAACCTCCTTTGTCAAAAGACGCTTGTAGAGCCGCGAAATCCTGCAAATTCAGTGATTACAAAGGGCAGCTGTATGATTAGAACTGATTTCCTATTGGTTTGAAACTGTACTCCAGGAATTTCACTACAAAATGCGATACGGATCGTAAAGGGTACTTGGGGATGCCTCACAAATCCAAGTTCGCCGACTGTCCCGTTCCGCAAGTCAGTTGAAGTTCACTATTTCGATGCTTACTTTGAGATTTCAGCACATCATCTGCAGTTATACATATGGCAGTGAGGTACGCTTCGATAAATGAGAATAAAAAGCCACCCTTCAATCAATTTTGATAAATTTCTTACTCGAATTATCTTTAAGCCAAAACAAAACAATCTGGTTCAGATTTTGAAAGTCAAACAGCTACTCTTGCCCCCAGTTAATACTGTAACTTTTCGCTTCGAGTGATTGTCGCGCAAAATAATGATCCTTTATTAGTGTAGGGACCGCAAAGCCACGCCCCTTTTCGCAATAGAAAAAATGGCTTTTTTTTGGTTTTCAACTTTCATTTTATTGTAGTTGCAAAATATGTGGGACTGGCTAGTTAAATTTGACACACATGTACAGAAAAGCTTCCTCTTTCGTTTAAAAAATATTTCACGATTTTTTTGGATGCGTTCTCGCGGAATGTCGTACAAAAAAACGTGAATGGAACTAAAAAAATTTTTGTCATTTTTTTGCTTTTTTTCAAGTGTTTTTCAGGTCGAACGCACTCTTCTTTTTTTAAATAATGATTTTTGATTCAAGTAACGGTAATTTTAAAACAATAAAATAAAAAAATCCGTCTTTGCCAAAAAAATTTTTAGGGAGTGCCGAAAGTCATAATTCAAAATATCGTTAATAAGCGAATATAACCGAGTTTTTTTGTTTTTTTCAAAATTTAAATCATGGGCTTACTTGAAATATTTCTCTACAGCATCTGTGCTTGAAAAAATTTTTTAATACCCAAAAATGCTCTTTGAAACTAGAGAAATAAAATAGCGGTGTTGGGAATACGACATTTCACATAATGCCATTTCACATAATGACAATTCACATAATGCCATTTCCCATAATGCGACATTTCACATAATGTCATTTCACATAATATGAAATTTCCCATAATGACAGTTCACATAATGGCATCACACATAATGCGACTTTTTCACATAATGAAATTTCACATAATGTGACTTTTTCACATAATATAAAGTTTCACATAATGCTCTTTTTGCCAACAAGATTAACATAATTCTTGATTTACTTGAACGATGGGGACGTTACAGTTGGGCAAATTTTTTTCGGTCTTTTTTTATAAAGTTATAATTGAATACTCTTCGATATTTAGTATGGATATATATACATTTTTGCTTATGAATTTTGCTTGAAAAGTTATTATTTACAAAAAGCCTAAATGAGTGAGTTGGTAAATATATAGAGGTCACACATCGTGCTCTCCTCGTCATCGCACATTTTTTTTCGCTCCTGAGGGTTGAAGGAAACGTCTCGATACTGACGACGTTGATACCGGCTTCTGCCCAGGTCACACATCATGCTCTTATCGTCCTCGCACATTTTTTCTTCGCGCCTAAGGGGTGAAGGAGTCGTCTCAATATTTGCGAAGTGTATACGAGTTCTTCTCTGTTGTTATAGTGTTTTTCTGACGCTCCGCCCATATCCCTATATAAAGGCTGCTAGATTTTCCACTCAATCTTTGTCTTTCTCTCGATCAGCGTTGTCGTCACTAGTTTTAGGTTTCAGTTTTTCGTCAATTTTTCGTTTTTGTTTTCGTGTTTGGCTCATTTTTGCGTTTCTCCAATGGCTCATCCAACTTTGAAAGTGTACGATGACAGGTCTGATAATAGAAAAAAAAATAATAAATACATGAAAAATTATGAGAACCCTCTAGGCAAAAGCATAAAAAGCATTATGTGAAAAGTCGCTTTATGTGAAACGTTATTATGTGAAAAGTCGCATTATGTGAATCGTCATTATGTGAAGAGTCGTATTATGTTAACTGTCGGGTTATGTGAAATGTCATTATGTGAATTGTCGTATTATGTGAAATGTCATTATGTGAAATGGCATTATGTAAATTGTCATTATGTGAAATGGCATTATGTGAAATGTCGTACATTCAGCGGTGTTTATCCCACCGAAAGCGGTCGAACGCAAGTTTTTTTGTTTTTCTGGAAAATACCAACTTTTTTTCGGCAAACTAGCAAATTATAGCTATATTATGATTTTTTTACATCATAATAGACCAGTATCAAAAACTTTGTTTCTAGAAGAAAAAAATCGAGAAAAAAATGTCAAAAATGAATAATACTAAAATTTCAGTACTAAAAAAATGGTGAGCGGCGCGCCACATTTTTCCGTCATAACTTTTTTTCCATCCTCAATCTTTTTTTCGAAAAAAACGAAACGATTCTGAGTTTTGAATCGAAACAGCTATCAAACCATTCAAAGCTTAATGCTGAAAAAATTTTTTTTAAAAGTTCGTCTGCGGTCCCAATATTAGTGCCACACTTTTTTTGATCTTTTTTTGAATTAACAGTAAGAAAAAAATAGAAGGTGTTATGAAAAAAATAAAAAGACCGGTGAAAAGTTTGAACGGCGACTTTTACGATTTTTTCGTATCGCTAGGGAAATTTCCAACGGAGAAGTTTCCGACAAATCCATTTTTTTCTCTCGGTGAAAACTTTCCCATATAAATCAGGTAGTTGAATCATGGGAAAACAGAACACAAAGAAGTAGGAAAAAAATAATGTAAATAGATGTTTTATTAACCAAAAAGTATAAGGGAAAAACGGAAAATATTCCGTCGGTAAGTTCCCTAGCGATATGAAAAAATCGGAAAAGTCGCCGTTCGAAAATTCTCTGGTTTTTTTTATCATACAACCAAATAAGGTCAAAAAAGGTAGCACTATTAAAGGACCATCGTTGAAACTAAAATTGACACGAAAAATATTGTAGCCGTGGAGGGGGAGTTGATTGCTTGACATTCAAAACCTGAACAGACTATAGACTCTAGTTTTTTCGAGAAACAACGCATAATCACAATAAACATTTTAGGACTGGAAATGCTTGGAACATGAAGTTATTCTGTTTCAAACAAACACAAGAAAGGCAAGACAAAGATTTTGGGGGAAAAAAAGAAAAGAACTTTTTAGGCAAAACAAAGACAGTCTACAATGGACTGTGTTATGAGGTTATCATTCAAATTTTCAAAAAAGAATCTTTCTTCGACAGATCATATGCAACGAAGGAAGTTTCCAGTTTGTTTCTGGACAAGATTACTTCGATTGCAAGAAAGAGGGAGATAAGGTGACCTTCAAGCAGGTTCCATTTTTTGGTTTTTGAAAGTTTTGACCGCTTTTTGCGTCAGAACTACGGGATAAATAACCATTTCCGACATCTTTACGAACAGACGACTGAAACAGTGCTCAACAACATTACAGTACTTATCAAGTTTTTTTGCATCCTTGAAAAATGAGTTTTTGAGTTTCTGAGCAATTACACTGCCGAAAGGACTGTGATTTGCCCAAAGTACTGCGAAGTGTGCGCGGAAAAAGATCCGAAGACGTGCAAAGAAGAGGAAGCAGAAGAAGAAGAAGAAGAAGACGAGGTCTGCGACGACGACTAGTCTTCTCCAACCACTTTTTCATCCCTTTCTTTAATTTTTCACGCTTCGTAAGCAAATAAAATGAAGTGATAGAAATAAAAAAGAGCATTTCAAGGTCGACTGAATTTTTTTCTTGAAAAAAAGTGCAATTCAAAAAAAGCTATACGATATTATCAGCAAATTTATTTTTGTAGAAATTAGATTCACAGCGAAAGTCCAAACGACATTAAAAAGAAGAGGCTAAAGCTCCTTTTTAAGTTCCTAAAAAGGTGTCATTTTTTCCGCCTTTTTTTATCCGCCTTATTTTTCAGAAAAAAAGGTCTAGAAAAAAAGCGCATTTGAGACCTTTTAAAGGCCTTTTTTTCAAAAACCCTTTTTGAGACGTTTTGGACTTTGCCCGTGTCATGAAATGAGAGAGTGGAATGATGAAAAAAATTTGGAGTCAGACGTAATTTTTAAATTTCGCAAAAAATTTTTTTTCTACAAGACGTTAAAATTGAATCCGAAGGCATATGGAGTATCTGGACCGGTGGCGGGGGCCTCATCGTAAAGAAAAAAATTACGGTGAGGCAAGCCCCGCCCCTGGTCTAGAAACAACGGCGCTCATAATACTATTATTTTCGAAATTACCGAGAAAAAAAACATCGATTAAAACTGAAAAAACACGCGAAAAAGGCTCGAAATTACAAAAATGTCCAATTCTAAACATTTAATGAGAAAAACGAAACAAAGATGAAGTAATTGGAACTGAGAAGAGGAAAAGAAGACGAGAGGAGCATGTTGAAGGTCGGGATGTGGACGCACGTTTCAGGTTCTTGTTCAGCACAAACTTCGCAAAATTCAGGACAAATCACGGTCCGTTCGATGATATAGTCCTTGTACTTCTTAAATTGCAATCTTCTTGGAGAATGATTCACGGCGTTTTTTTGAAGATGCCCATATTTTATTTCGTAAAGTGTAGTGTGTAGTGTGCATGCACTGCGGCGCTCTCGCAAATGCCGTGCTCAAAGTAAATTTCGCGAAATTCAAAATGAGATATAGTCCATCCCGCGCCAGCTTGTCGCGATTTTAATTATCCTACGAGCCTTTCCGGGAAGCTTCGCTTCGATGCGCTCGGCCTATTTCTGTGCATGCGCCTTTAATACAGCGGGAATCTGGCACATGTCCGCGCGCTTCTGTAGATCGTTACAAAGTTGATTTAAAATGGCGCGCTGTAACGCAACAGGTAGTGTGCCTGTCTACGGTCCACAGGGTCACAAGTTCGATCCGGCCCCCACCCAACCAAGGGATTTAAGAAATATTGGTAGTGGGAAACCACGGCTTCATATATCCCCAGCCGTCACACACAAAGACGGATATAGCCAGTCCACTGATTATCAGGATAGGACCCCGGCTAATCGGCTTGGGGCGCCGACGCCGCTCAAGCGGTACGAAGGCGTAGGAAGTAGAAGAAGAAGTTACAAAATTGATTTGAAAAAAGGGATGTAGATAATTATCATTCTCTTACTTTCCTGTAGTTCAATGCTCCTTGGGAGCTTCGGGCGTAAAAATTGTAGAAATGGTTACCCAACCCGTAAGACTGTAACAATATGAGTTGAATTGAAAAAGGGAAGAGAAAACTTCGTAGAGGTAAATTCTTTGACCGGGCTTCTCACAAGTGTAAGTCACGTCGTTGGAGACGAATTGAACCTGTCCCAGGTTGCATTTTATCTGCAAATCGTACTTGTAACTTCACAGCCAGTCATCATCAACCTGGTAACATTGTGGGCTGTGCAAAGTCTCCGTTGTTGGTACTTTTGAGGAGTACGACTTGAAAATGTAAGGCCCGGCATGCTCCAAACATCGCCAACTCTAGAAAAAAAAAGTTCATTCGCGACGACTTGAAACAGTCTGCCATGTCTGCGCTCTCTTTTCCCTCGTCGAAAAGGTCATGATAACGATACGAGGGTGCAGGGAAGACAGAATTTTTCGCCAAATTGACTAGGTTTAAAACCTACCGACTGTTGGGAAGCAAGGCCGCAGGAGATGATCTGGAAAAAAAAATTATAATTTCTCTCCACAGTCTGCGCTCTCGTTTCTCTCATAGACAAATGAATAGCGTGAGTGAAAAAAGGGCGCAGACAAGAAAAATCTGTCGAAAACAGGATTTTTTCAAAAAATGGAAAAGTGGAGGTTCAGACTTTCAGAATCTCCTTTCGGTACGTTGAAGATTATTCTATGAATAGTTCAGAAAGTTCCCAAGAACTGAGCAAAAAAACCTTAATTTTTTTAGTTAAACTCTCCAAAAAAATTCAAATATTGAAAAACCTGGATACTTTTTAGAATAAAAACTATATGTTCATATTTTTAAATGTTTCTTAAAACCTCCGTTCTTTGGATCAAGCCAATTGTGGATCAACTATCACTTCTACTTCAAAAAAATAGTACTTGGGGAATTTCGCAACGGCCTCTCGGAGAGACATCCAGAAGGTCAACATAATGCGACTTCCGTCCGGGGTGGCATTTTGTGTAAAAATCACTGAAATTCTTCTTATTTTTTTCTTATTTTCCTCATTTCAAATTGCCTCGTTTCTGAATAGTCTCCAAATTCGCAAGATTTGGCGAAATTGCAAGGATTTTTGCCGCTATTGACCGGAGGCATCGTCTCAGCCATTCTGAGGATGAATATAAGAGAAAAAGGCGGAAAAAAGACTGACGAGTAGTCGACTTTAAACCAGCCCGAATCTTCCATCAAACCATAGGTTATGGCCGAAAAGAACTGCATATCCCGATCGCCAAACGATCTCATGAACTCGTACTGAAGAAAATTGGCTTTTCACATTAAAATTGGGGGTTAAAAAAACTTTGAAGGCATAGGGGCAGTAAAAAACGGTGTTTCAGTTCAAAGCAGTACTTTGTAGAGTTTTTCATTGCGAATCGAACGGTAAACTTGGAAACGGACAGAGGTTCCTAGTTTTGAAGAAAAAATTATTCAAAGTCGGAGGGTGGAAAGTTTGAGTTCCCGCCGAAAAGGGGGTTTTGAAGTAAAGTTGCTCTATGGACAACACGTATCGCCATTTTTCGAATTTTCGCCTTTTTTTTTCGTTTCTTTCAATTTTGATTTTTTTTTCTTCTGTCGCCAAAGCTCTTTTCGCCACAAAAGCTTTCTATTCATGGTAAATTTGAAAAATTTCTAATCATAATGTTAAAAAAGCACTGAGCTATGAAAACGGGACTAACATTATGAGCTTATTAGTTTCAAAAAAAATCCAAGCCATCTTCACTATTCAGAACAAAGCCATGGCAAAAAATTGACATTTTCCTTTTTTTTTTCGAACACAGTAAAAAACTTTGGGATCTACAAAAAATCTCAAACTATCGATTTTTCTCTAGAAACAAGAAGTCTTGAAAAAATCAAGTCGACCGTTTGACACAAGAAAAACTCTACAAGACCGCATCAAAACCCCGAAAATCAGAACTCTGTGCTGGACTATACTGGCCATAGTGTTGCAACGCGGTCAAAATTTTGCTACTTTTCGGACTTATTGTCTCGAAATTTTGTTATGTAAATTTTGATATGAACTGATCGTGGTCCGATCCCCCTCGGATTTCCAAACTCAGTTTTCATCGACTTTCAGATCATCACAGAAATGTAGTCGATGTGCCACGACTTGAAATTTCATGGAACGACTCTCCGTTGGGTGGCCGTGGCCGTGAAAGCGCCTTGCCTTTGCGAATTTCGGTCGCGCTTTCCATTTTTTTATTCGAAATTTTTCATTATTTTTAATCATGTTTTTAATATTTTTCTTCGTGCCAAACTCATAATTATCTTTTTCTAGTGGATAGACTGTTTCATTGACAAAAAAATAAAGTAGAGTAATTTGCGAATTTTTAAGTGAAAAAAATGCGTTTATAATATTTGAAAGTTTTTTTCATGAGATGGTCTTTGGTTTTTGTTCAATATATTCCGTTATTTTACCTTCATTGAGCCTTTATCGACATTTCTTTTTTTCATTTCAAATCATGTAAAAAAATATCCCAATCAGAAATAAAATACACAGTGAATGATTTAAAAAAAAAAATGAATGTTTCTACATTGACGAATTTTTTTATTCAAAAACAGATACATAAGTTCAAAGGAAAAATTATTAGTTTGCTGGACATTTCGTTCAGCACATCGTTTCCACTGTTCCAAGTGCTCCCTGTTCACGCCCCATTTCTGACGCATAGTTCAGCAATACGATTTATCTAAAGCTCCATATGGAATGGCCATTTAAAAAAAGGAACGAAAACCTTTCTTCAAATTATGGTGCATGTGCTCATGGAAGTACGCATCTTCATTTTATAAGGCGCTCACTTTCTGAAAAAAACAATTAACGACTGCAAACAGAAAAACGATGAAAACATTAAAACATGGCTTTAAAAAAACACAGAAACTATTGTAGAATATTGTGGCGTTTACGGCCTATTTCACCCGCAAATCCTTTTTGGTAAGTCTTTGAAAAACTTTTTTTGAGAAACGAGAAAAAAACAATATTAAAGCGATTGAAGAATACATGAAGTTTTTCAAACTTTTTTTAAATCGCTTTTTTCGAGAAACATCATGAAATTTACTGTGTTCTTTCTTTTACATTTGTACAACGCAATCCTTTTTCAACGATAATATTACATTTTAAAGAAATAAAACAATAAAAAAACGATCGAAATTAGAATGAAAACCAAAAAAAAATTAGCATGGCCGAAGTTGGCAAATTCGCAAGATGCGCGCTACCGCACAAAATCGAAACAGCGGAGTGTTGTTCCATGAAATTTCAACTTGTGGCACATCGACTATAACTTTCATACCGGCAGGAAGTCCGTTTCAAAGTGATCTCCGTTTCCCCGGTTTTCCATTTCGACATATTTCAGGTCAGGACATTCGAAATAATCTCGAGCTTTCTCTAAAGCTTTCGGGAACGAATAACCAATGAAATGCTCGTCCTCTTTCGTCGATTCATTGATGATTTCTGGATAAACAGTGAAACGGGTCGATTTGATGACGTGTAGTCTGGAATGCTGGGATCCTCAGATAATCCGGAAGAGACCTCACTTAGAGTTTGGATACAAATCCACAAGGTCTCCAAGCAAAAAGAGCCCATGAGCAATTTCGTGCCGTATCGTGTCCATCAGACGTTCCAATCCCTGTTCAGAACAACTTTTCCCGATCTTTTTTTTTGTTTTCCCACTCCTCGATGAATTTCTTCTGTGGCTTCTCTGATAACGCTCTTCGAAAGGAACATCCTCCCAGATGTCGGTCTTAAAAGAATTCTTAACAAGAACGGGGGCGAAAATCGGAAAACCGTAAACTATTGCGATCTGCAGTGCATGGACCGGCGCTGGCAAGGATATTATAATCCTGACTTTTAATTTTGATCAGCCAAACATAATCAACCTTAAAGTTCCTTCAAAAAATCCGAAAAAACTAGATCAGACCATTATTGGCTTCTCAACACAGTCGATCTCATCTAGGCACTGAAAATTCAGCATTTCTTCAAAAGGAAAAAAAAACCTTGCCTCGAAAAAATCAGGAGATGGTACGAAAACCTCTTCGTGATTACAAATCGCCTTGTAATAAACTCCTTTGTACTTTCTCAAATATCCATACATTATTAGGAAGACCTTCATTAGGAGACATTTGTTTGAAAATTAGTCCATCGGGATCGCGCTGCACTTTGACGTCGTACCACTTCAAAGACAAGTCCACGGCTTTTTTCAACACGTTCTGATCGTCCAAAGACAATCTGAGAACATATTTCTACGAAGGGCTCGGAAATATTCAGAAATAGAACACATAGAATCCCTAAAGGCATAGGGGCAGTAAAAAACGGGGTTTCAGTTGACATCAGTATCCTGTACAGTTTTTCTTTGCGAATCGAACGGTGTACTCAAAAAAATTACAGATGTGACTACTTTTGAAGAAAAACGCAATTTTACTTTCCCGCCTTCAATTTTGAAAAGTGCTCTGGATCGTTATACGGACAACTGTTTACAGTAGCCGTGCACGCGATGTTGCGGACGTCTCATTAAACGCGCATTTTGTGAGAAATAACCGGATATCTGCTTCGAATCAAGGGTTTCTTCTCTGAAAAAGACATTCAGTCAAACAAAAACACACACCGATAATAAAGGAAACACAAAATATCGCAATCCCAATCGAAACCTGTGTAAAATATATATCTTATAAACAGAAACTTTCAAGGTCGAAAAGAACTTTAGTGACAACAGAAAGAATTGAAATTGAAAGAAACAAAAAAAGCGGATATCCGAAAAATGGCGTAGCTTTTTGTCCATAGAGCAACTTTACTGCAAAGCGCCCTTTT